CGAGATAATATGATTGTTATAACCTTTAAGTTAACATAATAGAGATGAAGACCTTCAAGAATAACATTTTTTTTATTAAATAATAAAATATAATGTATTTGATATCACAACCTTAAAAGAAACTTCTAATTTTTGATAATATTATTGGAAGTAAGAACTATTCCATTAATATTTCATATATTTTATATGAAAGAAGTTACAAAGGCCTCAAGAATAATCAAATATTAAGGTGGTCTATCGATCTTGGAATAGAATACTATTGATAGTTAAAAGAACCTATTAACTACTTTTAAAAAGAACAAAAATCAAAGTATATAGCAAATATAATTTGTTGTATCTTGAACTTCCTCAATATATGATTATTTCTCTTTGTAGAACTTGTTTTTAAAAAAGAAGAATAATATAATAAACATATGTAATTACTTAGATAAGAAGCATTAAATAGAAAATAAATATAGGTAGATTTGATAATATCTTAAAATAAAGTTTGTTAGAAGCTTCAAAGAAGCAAATTTGACTTTAGATGTATTTATAATTTATTGGTAGATTAGAAACTTGGCCAACAAATTAGCCATGTATTTCATATGTTGATAACTTATAGTAAAAGCTAATCATATAGTTCATATATAAGAAACTTGTCTTACAAGTTAGACATGTATTGAAGGTTCTATAGAATATTATCATATAGTTCTTAATTAAATAATATGTATGAAAGCAAGAATGAAGCTTTTTTCACTCTTGTCACTAACTATCTTATTTTTAGTCTTGTTTCAAAAAAATTTAATTTTCTTGTCTTTGGCAATAGCCATTCTAGTTCAATATTATTCCATCTTTGAGTGATTATCTACTCTTTATATCTACCTTCATTCACAATCAGTCCTCTTTAAGTATCAATTTTTTTTTTCTTAAGGTGATTTTTGCTAAAAAAATATTCTTTATCTCTTCTTAAAGATGCATATATTAATTATTTTTCTTTTCTACTCTGATGTACTTTATTTATGGCCCTACAAAATAAATACAAGTTCTTTTAAAAAAAGAAAAAATTAACACTTATTAATTTTTACTACTTCTTTATTTATTATCTATATTTTTATGATGATTTTCAATAATATTTTTATTTAAGCTCTTTTATAATATAGTTTTTCTTTTGTATCTAATAGCCTAATTACAATACAATGCCACAACTTCTAATATCAAATAAGTTTTTTTTTATAAAGATGGATAGATCACTATCTTTTAGAAAAGATTTAATATTAAAAAATAAAAATATATTAGTTAAAAATAGATAGTATATAAATTTTAAAATATAAGAATAAAAAATAAAATAATTTAATTATTTCTATAATAAAAAAATATTATATTAATAATTTTATCAAACTATTAAAGACATGAATCATTATAAAACTTTTAAAAAATAATGCACTCTAGAGGCACTTAAAAAAAAAGTAGAAAAATTAAAGATAGATATAAGATAAAAACTAAAATGACTATTGCCAAATACAAAGAGATTAGAGATTTTTGAACTAAGATAAGAACACAAGATAAGAGTGAGGAAGACCTCATTCTTGCCTTCATATATATAATCTATCTAAAGAGCTATGTGATAATGTTCTACAAGTCATCCAACAAGTGTCATACTTGCAAAATACATGTCTAACTTACACATATTTTAACCTATCAATCATCTACTGCGAGAGCCGCATGAATGTGGTTGTGCAGCTTCGTGTTTTTCGGATGTTGAGTGGAGGCGATTGTTTGCGCATGAGATTGAAGGTGGGGAAGAGTACGCATCCTCAACGGTTCTAAGAATCTGTGATGTGAGGGAGGTGGGGGGAAGAGTGTCGGAAGAGTGTGATATCTGTACTTAGCGTTCGAGGAGGAGCTAGAAACGTTATGACGGATTGGCTCAATAATATGGCATGGTCTAAAGGCTCTAAGAAAACTCTCGACTCCTACATTGTGAAAGGCACATACAAAGTTGTAGAAGGTGAGAGGGTTTGAATGCCGAGCTTAATTGCATGCAAATAGACCTGGTTGGATTCACTGTTATCGTGTTGCGGTTCGGTGATGTTAGCGTCGAGACTATTATCTTCCTTCGTTTCGTGCTCAGGTGCGAGACTCTGAAGCTCCGTCACTATTCTCGGCTGGTTGCTGTGAGCTGCTATAGCTGTGCAATGAATATCGAAGTCTCCCTCAAAGACTGAAAAATGCTGGAATTTTTCACTAAGAGCAAGAATTTAACAGGCATTAAATGTTTTGATAATATTCTTCGTGCACCAAGAGCGCAGATTCTCCTGATGTTAAAACTCATGAGACAATTGCGGAGTGCCAAGAAGCGCTGGATGCTTCGTAGAGCACTGATCTTTCTCTTTAGAAATATTGTAGACTAGTGCGAGTTCCTAAAATTTTCGTTCTTTGAACCTTCCAACACATCAGTGTAGTACCTGTGTGGAGCCTGTATATCTAGACCGTTTCAAGTCATTTCGTGAAATTGTTGAGAGGTTACACGAGCACCTGGTTTGCAGCATCTTTGTGATGCTATAGGTCTCCCTAGAACCTCAGAAGGGTCGGAGCATGGTATATCCGTGATCAGTCACATTCGAAGCGGTTTATTCATTTCAGAAAACAAATAATTACCCTTACACACATGAGCTGTATTATTCATGATCTTCAGTTGGAGACCATTTCATATATATCAAAACGTCGTAGAATCTGACGGTGTACTGATACCATCGATATCTGTACTAGAATTCTAGATCACTCTTGCAGCAGTTGATCGTGGACGACCGTGGTATCATTTTAAGTATCTTTTACGTTTTCCCTCCCCGATCCTCTCTCTCTCTCTCGCTCTCTCTCTCGCACCGAAATATTTTCTCGTCCTCTGGCGAGATTTTATCATTAAAAAAAAAAAAAAAAAAAAAAATAGATGTAGTTTATTATAATAAAAAAATATTTTATTTTTTTCAGGTAGAAAATTCCCTCGAAGTGACTTGCAATCATGTTCAATGCAGTGGGAGATTGAGTCCTGATGCGCGGGCAAGATCCGGGTAAACCACCCTACGTTGCCAAGATAGAGAAAATTGAAACCGACAGCAAAAGAAACGCCAAGGTCCGTGTGCGATGGTATTATCGGCCGGAAGAGTCGGTGGGAGGCAGGCGGCAATTTCATGAGTTAAAAGAACTTTTTCTTTAAGATCACTATGATATTCAAAGCACGGACACTACTGAGGGTAAATTTAAAGTGCATAAATTTAAAAACCACACAAAACTGGAAAGCGTTGGTACTGAAGACTATTTCTGTCGCTTCGAATACAAAGCTTCCACTGGCGCGTTCAGTCCTGATCGAGTTGCCGTGTGAGTAATTTTCCAATTAGTTTAATCAGTTCAGAGTAGGGAGTTGTATTTTATTGGTTTTATACTTAGGAGTCACTGGCTACAAAGTATCCAGTATCATCATCGGATCCAAAGTAGTCCATTTGAAATTCTAATTTTGCGGAGCAGATTTCGATGAGAAACATAAGTACGAAGACAGCTTGGTTATGTTTTATTTCACGAACTATCAGAGAGCATTCTGCTTCGCGGAAAGAGAAAAAAATAAATAAATAAATAATCTTGAGTTTGTACCTATATTCCTAATCCCGACAGGTGTTCTTGGTCAATATGCAGTTGCTGTAAGTGTGAGATGCCCTACAACCCTGACGGTTTGATGGTGCAATGTGAAATCTGTAAAGATTGGTAGGCTTGATATTCTCTCTCCTCGCTCTGCATCTTCGTTGCCGCAAAATATACCTCCGGTTTTTCTGCTAAGTATTGGTTTTATTGCTTCCGTAGATTTGATTTAGGTCATGTATAATCCCAGGTTCGCAAAGCATCCAAAGTTTCAAGACGTGTATGATTGAAATGAGCTAAACTTCATTTGAAATTTCTTCATGCAGGTTCCATCCATCTTGCATGAGGTTTACACCAAATCAAGTGAAAAAAATGGAAAAGTTTGTTTGTCCCGATTGTACTTCACAACCTGGAGGGAAGAAGGTGGAGCAGTCGTCCCCTAGAAGAACGCCTCTCCCTGATCATGTCAAGGTACGTGAACCTATGCAGTGAATTCGATAGTAGGGGCATTTGATGTTGCTAGTATTGCTCGACCTATGCCTTCTCCTTTCTGTACTCACTGGAATCAGGAAAGCTTGGGGGAATGGAATATGTTGAGCATTTGTAACATTTAGATCCAGTCCCTTTATTACAAGATCTGGTTTTAAATCTACCTAAACAGTTCAATGTGGCACTATTTCGTATGTAAGTATATAAAAAATGAAAATAGAAATATCATTATTATTCCTATTATTATTATTGTCAATAATTTAATTCAAATTAGTTTTATTCAAAGCATTGTGATCCAAATACTATGAATTGGAATGCAGCCTGGTCCGAAGCGAGGGAAGAAGTGACACAATAGACACGAATCAAGAATCTGAGACCTCTCCCCAGTGCTACTGCATAAAGTTTTGTTAAAGACATGTTTGTGAAGGACAACTGTGTAAAGTGGTAATGTATGAAGGCGGCATTGACGTAGGAACTTTGTGGTCAAGGGCCTCGTTATGCACAAGTTTGTAGGTAAGAAGTTCTCGGACAAACCATGTGTTTGGGCTGGAATTACCAAGAGGTATATGGTGAAAATTAAATGGGTGCTGACAACTCAGGAGATGGTCGAATATTCTGTTTCACCACTTGAGACTTCCTCCAAAGCAGAACTGTGATGCATGATTCGGGAAGAACAATTGCTAATCCCATAGCCTTGTGGAAGGACCACCTCTAGACTAGGTTTGGAATGAGTTAACTTTAGGAGTGAGTGAAGAATCCAGCAGCGATTCTTGTTCAATTGGGATGCTTACTTAGCCTTTTTCTTGAAACTGACTTATGAGACCAGGCATATGAAGCTCTATGCAGTATGGGCAACGTTGAAGAACCCATCTTTAACACCCTCCCACAGCTTACTCTTCAAATAGAATGCCGTAACAATGTACTTTAAAAACTTTATTAATCCATTAATCACATAGTTCATGGACCGAGAATTGCAGAGAAACATATACCAACAGAAACAAGGAACTAGCCTGTCACTTCAGATGCTAAATTCCACACTTCTAAAGGTCCAGCAACCTCTGCAGTCGCCTTGTAACAAGCCTTATTATCCACTGCAACAGCCAGATTGTAATGACATCTGTAACAATGTCCGCAACACGAGGTACGTAATGTCTTACGATGCCGCCCATTCTGCCACGGTTGGTGTTGCAATTGACACCTTCCGCATATCCAGCAGATTCGCTGCAAAATTACACAAAGTAAACAGGACAGCCTCACAAATTCAGTAGAAATAAAACCCCTCCTTACCTCAAGCATGTGCCAGGAGAAAGAAGCAGCAGTGATACACAGTAAGGATCTGCAACGCGCAATTTTTTAAGATAAAATGGTTGAGAGGGAGATTACTACCAGAATGAATGGCATCAGACTGAGCCCCCGTTGCATCAGAAAGAACTGTCACAAATGGATAATCGTATGCAACAGCATCGAAAGCGGTTGCTCGTATGCAATTTGGGGTCTGAACACCTGCCAACAATTTCAGAAGCATCAAAATTAGTGATTAATATTAGCAAACTCTAGTGAGCTCCAATATATTACTACTGAGATGTCATTGTAATGCCTTGAGTAGTCTTCGCACTATGATAGCAATCCTCAGTAAATTTTACGAAATACACCTGCAACAACAACGTGCTGGATACCCTCCCTTCGAAGCACAAGGTCCAGATTTGTAGCAAAAAAGGCGCTGAATCTGGACTTCACGATTTTGTGCTCTCCAGGAATTGGGACCAACCCATCTACCAGAGCAGCACCCACTGCGCCTCTCATGGTTGGTCCAGAAGTGCCATCGTATAAGTGCTTTCGGAAATACTCAACGTCTCTTCCAGTTTCATGATGTTCTCGGACAACCTACTCAATTAACCAAGTACAAACATGTCTTGGTCAACATTTGGTGGATGCATCTCGTGTGCATTTGAAACAGAACATCTAAAGAAACGTTCAAGAACCTTATAACTTCAATTTGGCGCTCCCTAAACAACTAATTCAAACCACATTTTTAAGAGCATTACTTATCCTAACATCGAGCCGGAAGGCACTCTTAGAAAAGCAAAAAAGTGACTGTTTACATGAGAGATAATGTACCCAGACAACAAAAGCTCCTTTTTCTCGAGCGATGTCGACAGCTTTCTGCACAGCAGGAATAACTCTTGGTCCTCCAGCCACAAACAAACAGCATTCCGGGCTGAGGAAGTCATTCTGCAGCCATCGCAGTGTCATTGTGTGATTAAATCGTAACATGTCCATCGGCACAAGAGTAGTTCTGTAAATAAATCAAAGGTGCAGGAGTTCAAAAAACAGATAAGGAACGAAGGAAACAACACTACCTGCATGTCCACCACCAATAATGCAGTTGATTTCCATTTAGCTTGATTTTCGTCCGCTCCAGCCATTGCACTCTGAGTGCCACACGTAAAGACAGTCATTAACCACCTCAACCTAGAGTGCTAATTCATGTATCTCTTCTTGTAGCAGTAGACCCTCGAGATGGATTTAAATTGTCAAGTATTGCACCGAAATTACATAACTGACGACCCCTGCTTATTGGTGAAAGATCATCAACAATCTGCAACTCAATCCTATCACAATTCGGTTGTGTTAGGAATATCTTGAGGTTAGGGTTAAAAGTGAACCAATAACTCCGTAATCTAGACGAATTGACGGTCACATTTTGCCTAATCTTCGTCAAATTGAGGTACAATCACTTTTATGCCACCTGATAAAAGTGATTGTACCTTATTTTCAACTGATCCGTGACTATGTTTCCAAGACGCAGCAGAGAGCACTGAAACTTGTAACTTAAGAAGCAGCTAATTGCGCCTATCATCTGGTTGAAAAGGTTGCTCCACTAATTTCCCAACGCCCATGTTATTTAAGTCTTACCCTCTCAAACACCTTCTTAAACCCACCCGAACAGCACAAACACAAAATTGGAGTTGCACCGTCAAAAGTTCAACATAATCAAACTGAAATCCATTTACGCGGAACACCAGCTCACCTTTACCTACATCAGTTCCGCTAGAGCATGGCTAGATGTTACTTCAAGAATATGCAAACAACGAAGGCGACATTGGAGACAAAGACAACAACCATGAAGAGACGCAAGAATTAGAAATGATAAGCTAAGGTGTGTAAAAACCGATGGATATTCCGCTCACCAGCAGCTCAGGTGAAATAACACTCGGATTCTAGACAGAGCCCCGGCAGCGATTCTGTTGCCAAATGGCTAAATGGACAGCAACATTCGCGATCCATTGTGAGCAAGGAGCACCGCTCGGGGCGGCACAATTGGATGCGTCCAGCGGAGTCCACCAAATGACCCCTGAAAGTCGATAAAATTGATACCCGGATCTCTCCCTCTAGTCGGTACTTCAACATCGTCCTGAGAGCAGCAGTCTAATGTTACAGACGTTCTTATGTTGATGAAAGTGGGCGGTTATATTAGCAAAGCGTGTGTTCTGTGATTGACTGCAGCAAATGCATGAAACACACAACTTTGTATTTTTAATACAAATATATATATATATATATATATATAGAAATTCCTGTTATTGGCAAAAGTTACGTCTTTGTCAATATTAATTCTGGTTTTCATGATATTACATTTCACTTTGAAATACTTGAGGTTTAATTGTATTGACACACAAAATTGTTGGGATGGACTTAATTGGACAGACTTTGTACTTAAAATTTTAAGTGTATTATTTGGTACTCCGCAATATAAGCAAAGTTGGACGAAAGTGGTTATTTCATTTTCTAGAAGTTGATGGGAAAAAATAACTTAAAGAGAAACTAATTTTAAAGGATTACTTGTTCATGCTATCTTTTATATCAACACAAAATCAAAGTGATATGTTATAGAATCATTCACTTCAAAATTTTCAAAAGAAAAAAACAAAATAACTAAAAACCAATTGTTTTTTTTTACAAAACATAAATTCAATCCAAATATGAGGATTCCAATTTAAAATTGTGATGACCATGCTTGATTTAGGAATTGTTTGTGTTTTAGAATCCGCATTATTGTTTGATTAAGAAATAAATAGAACATATTCATCAATAGTTTACACATCTTGATTCTTTTTATATTTCAAAAACCACGTCATATTAATTAATATTTTATTAGACAATGCTAATCACAAAACCAAATCTGAAACTAACTCAATCACTTTACCCCAACTTTGCATTAACTTTATTCGAACTTCATGTGAGTTCCACCAATGGATCTTAATTGGTGGATTAGTTAAAAATATAGTGTTGAGTCATTTAATGAGATAAATACTAAGGTTAGAGAGTCTTTTTGACTATTTACATACTTATTAGAATTTAGAAGTATTTATAAGTATAAAAGACTTATTAGAAGAAAAGTTACAAAAATGGAATCTTAGTAAGTCTTGGAGGCAATTATCTTAGTTGGTTTAGTATTTTCACTCATTATTGAGTATTAATGATTAGTAATCAAGACCAATTTCTATATTGGCCTCATATCTACATGTATTACTTAGAAAAATCCTACCAATGATTAGTTAATAGTTAAAAGAAGCATGAAAAAGAACTTCATGTCTTTTAAATTATGTATGTAGAAAATAGGATTTTTAGTGGATTTAAATTGATTTTATTACTATAAAAATCACAAAAATAGAAAAATACAGCCTTTATGGATATTAGTATCATGGAAATATTATAATATTTTTTAGAATTTATTTAGAATTTATTTAGGATTTTTTATGAATTTTAGAGAAAATTTCAAGACCTTGGAAAAATTGAGTTTTATCACCTTGAGAGCCACTATGAAGAAATGAAACAAGATTTGAAGACAGTACAAGGTTTCTAGGCTAATTGGGTGTTTTTGAACACCATTGTGAAGTCAAAAAATGCAAAAAAATTAGTTTTACTAGTAGAAAATAGGAGGACCAGCAGCTAGTATAGTCCTTGTAGGAAGAGAGGTGCACAATTCTCATATGGGTTGTAGCACCTTGGGTATAGGTAGGAAGATAAGACTAAGGCCTCAAGGCCTCTTTAGAAGACCAATATACGGTACTTGTGAGCCTTGGTGAGGTTCGAACTCCTGATTTCTTAAGCAAATTATTCTTGAGATAAAAATTATTCACTTAACTTTTTTATTATTTACATTCTATTTTTAATGTATTATAATTTACTCATAGTAACTTAGAATTACATGATTTTTATGTCATTGGAAAGATAAAAAATTATCTATCTAAAAATATTTTTACTTTTATCTTTTATCTTTATTAGGTGAAAATCTAGTGAATAGACTGTGACTAGTTTTGTAGTGTACAATTGCTTGATTGCACTTGTTTCACTTGTTTGGTGTTGTTCTTCTTTTGTTCTTATTTATTGCTACTTCTACTTCTCACCACCAATTACAAGCAAATCTTAATTGAGGCCATCTTGTAATTTGAGGTGAGAGGGAAATTTACCCTCATACATCATGATTCATAATAACCAAAGGAGTCTAGTGAGGAACACAACTATAATTTTTCTTTATCAACAAATGTTAAAATAAATATTCAAAATTTTAAAAGATGTCATATGATCAATAAAAATATAAAATAAAAAAATCTTGATAAGATTTGTTTCATAAGAGAGAATCAAGAACCATTATAAAAATAATCAAAAAAATATGCAAGTAGTTTTTGTGATTGGCAACATGATATAATTAATTAATAGAATTATTTTTAGAAAAATATTAAATAGACTCAGGTTTTAACTAAATCAATCCACCCATCCTAATCATTGTAAAAATAAAAATAACTTCTAGATTCATTTTTCCATTGTTAGATCTCTAACCAATGAAAACCAACCACATTTATCATGGTTACCATATTCTTCATCAGAGGTGGATCAATTTATTAAAAGCTTCGATCTATTTAACATTTCTCTATTTTTAGGGAGTTATTAAAACCACACCCCCAAACCATGTGATATTTGATTTTGGGAGGTAAGGAACAAGAGACTGGATAGGAAACAATGTGCAAAGGTTGGGAATGGTACATAAGGGACATAGAATAAGGAACGGAGATTAAAATAGATGAAATTAATCATGAAATGGTAATGTGGAGTGTGGCTTTAACAACATTGGGATGTGACTTTAATAACTTTCTATTTTTATTATGTTGTAAATGTTCAAACATTATTCTTGGAATTACAGCTACTCTATTTTTTCACTTACGGAGATATAAAAAATATATTATATTTTCCCAGTTGATATGTTATTTTGACGTGTTACCATACTATTCAACAACCCGTCATTTGCTCATATCCTGGCGCGAGCCGTGGAAAACGTGGAAACCCGTTCAACTACATCATCAGGTCCTCTAGGTACACAGAATTCTTTATACCGAGAACAGGATGCAGCATCGTCCTTGGAATCATGGATGAATGGAAGGATCTGTTAGATGAAGACCAGAACCCATCACGAATTGAGTCCGAAGTGGCGAAGAACGATTGTATGATTGGACCCCTCATCCATCGAATATTCATTCATCACCTGCTGGCAACGTCATCAGCGGGGCGCTCATCGATTGGTCATTTTCACAAGTACAGCGTGTTTACTGTAGTAGGGTTCCTAGTGTTATAGCAGAGTTCCGTCGCTTTTTCAAGCTTTTCGGTAAATCGATCGTGTGCCTGAATCGAAGACTCCGGCTTGACGATGAAGCGGTTCCAGCTTCAGATTTCGTCACGACACAGAGACAGGGTAGTGTTCTAGTTATGTCGGTAACCTCCATCGCGGTGCCATTGATACATTCAGATTCAATTCTCTTGAGTTGCCGTGATTTTGGTCCTTACGTATGATGGCCAGGCCGTCCGGTGACGGCGGAGTTACAAAAATGACGTACGAAGCCTTCATCGCCGCCAGAACGGGAAAAATAGAAGTCGACCAGAGCCTGTCAGTCAAGGTTTACTATCGCATGGCGAACAATCTCCTCAAGCAGGTAGTAGGGTCTCAATTCCTTCGCACGAGGTGATTTTTCAGGGGTTATATTTAGCTCGTTTTGCTACTTCGTTGGTATACATAGTGCTAATTTTCAAAGTTTCAATCTGTTACCAAGTACTAAAAAAATTGCAATTCTTGCGGTGCGATTCGGCTAACTTGGAGATTAAAAATGTCGATATTTACGCAGGCTAGTGTGTATCGTGACGAGAAAAATAATTTGGATTTGTTCATACTCCTCCTCCGGTACACAAGGTTTGTGTTCCATGACCTTTCGAGATGTGTACGATATTCTTGTTCGAGCGATCTAAAGTATGCATCCACTGTACCATCTGTTTCGTTTGTAATATCAGTATTGTTTCGGGAACAGCGTAGCCGCTCAAAATGATGTGATAGAATAGTAGCTCCAAGATCAAATGCCTGGGAGCTTCATTCATTTGTTTAGTTGTATTATAATCACTTTTATCTATGTGTTTGGTGTGCTATTTTCATAATTAGTGTTTTTATTGCTGAACCCACTATATTTTTGACGTGGCTCCTGCAACACATCATCCTGAATTTGGAGTGATTTGAATAGGCTTTAGATTCAGCTACATATGTTTCGCATATGAATAACGAGAAGTATTGCATTTGCTGTGTTCATGAGCAGATATTTGCATGTTTTGCAGTTTATTAACAGACACTATACCATGTCATCGGGACTATCACTTCCATCCGGAGTACAAGGTGGAGTACAGAAAGGTAGAAAGCGCTACAGATGCTGTATTCATTTAGGAACTTCCTCATGTCTCAGAAGCTTGATCAACAAACAAATTATTGAATTCTCTGTGGTGCATCAAGTACGATTACATCAAACAATATGCTAATGAAGTTGACTTTATTGCTTCGTTGAGTGAAAGCTATTTTAAGATTTTAAATGTCATGAGGAATTGGATGAGTACTGCTTTTCTGACGAATCCCTTACGTGTAAATTTCAGAGGTTAAATCAAATTATAAATGAGCTTGAAGCCTTGAAACCGGAAGTTAGGGATCAAATCGAGCATATGGAATTTGCTCATCAGAATGCTGGATTTGCTGTACAGAATTCAGCAAACACTCGTATTTCTCGCTCTACCAGCGTAAGGAATCAATATTATTACAATACTGACATGCACAAGGTATGACCACGTTTCATTTCATCCCGTTATCTCGTAGCCATCTGTTGTTTTCCTCAACCTGTTTCCATTTTGTTTAATATATTACAAATTTGCCTATCTATTGTTGTCAACGCTTGTTATTACATCATGTTTTCATCTTTTATATCTAGCTTAATGGTGACCCAGAGGTTTTGGAAGGCCACTCACAGGGAAGTGAAATTTCATATTCGTATGAAAGTGTCATAAGATTGAACTCCATTTATAGCATTTGGTACTTATGTTGTACAGGATTATGGACTTAGTGTTTCCTCAAGTAGGAGGGAATATTTGAACAGACCTTCGAATACCGAGAGTCCAGTTTTCAATCCAAGTTATCTGAATGACTTCAATAGCACGTGAGTATGAGCAGTGTTTTCTTACCAAAAATTTCTTTCATGTATTGTAAAAGATTTTTACCATCTGTTTCTAGCAGTGAAGGATTTCAGATATTTACATTGCTACCTATCGCATTTCTGACTAATTTGTTGGTTTGCTCTGCAGGTCTCTGTCCATACCACAAGCAGCTGATGACACCCTTGCTAGACATTCTGTTCTTGGATCTGCTGGGCAATCAATCAGAAGATCATCCGTCAGGCTTTCTAAGGTATATCATCATTTATTGATCAGATGAAAGTTCCTTGGGATCAACAAGTCTTCTACTGAATCGCAGCGTCGACTCATAACTTACAAGTTTCGTTATTGATGCTTATTGTAGGTCCAGTATCCAAGTCACATTGATGCAACACCTACTGAACTTCCAAGGTTTGCCAATCTCTCATCGCCAGTCTGACTTTGGCGTACTTCGCTCACCTCCGTTTTGAAAGCAATTTGGATAATTTTCTATAGATATCCTTCTGTCTAGCAGGAACTTTCTAGCGGTATTTCTTTTTATGCAAGTCAAAACGAGCTTCATACTCTGGATTGATTTATAGTATTATGGCATGCAGAAAGTGTGTTAAAATGTCCCGACATAAATTGCAGCGCACATATTATCTGCTCAGAGTTGATTGAGTTCAAATTATTGCAACCTCCAAGTCTTATGTCTTCTGTTCATCCAAACGTTGTATTTTTTCTGTTTGATGTGTAGAAAGGGATTTATACAAGGTCTCGATGTTTCTTGCAACACGATGATGTCTGCTTCTTTCATTCGAGATACTAACCTTTCCCATCCTGTGTACTGTGGTGAAGCTTGCAGAAGACTTTACAGTCTGCAAAACTGTCGGCAGGGATCCATTCTTTGGACTCATCGTTGGAAGCTGCTTCTTCTATTTGGCCCAAGTCAGAAACATTATTCACGACGGATCCAAACTTGCTCAGTTTACTTCGACAGCCTTCACTGCCTTCAGGGAGAGCCGCTGTTCGGACCCTGCCTATGGTTGGACATTCTAATGTTCAGCTACGACCTTCGCAAGTTGCAGACCCAAGACCTGGCCCACCCCGAAATTCAGTGTCAGATTTTTCGGTTACAAAAAGGCGTAAAAATCTGCATATAGTATGTTTTGCAATTCTCACCATAAGATACTCATTGCATAATGAATTCTCGGTTGAGATGCTAAAGGTGGTTCAGCTAGGTCATGCGAAAAAGCGTCTGATCACGTAGAACTGCCCTTTTCTGTGCAGTCATCGAGGATGTTAGAGGAGTTTCTAAGGCTTGCGGATTGCAACACGAAAAATAACCTTGAAACCTGTGGAGTTCTCACTGGTTTTTTGGTGAGCCTTTTTGGCATTCTCTCCAATTTTTAAGTTTTGCAATAGCACGTACATGATATATACAAGTGTCTTGGCCCTTGTAGGTTTTGACTACTCTAGAACTTGTCATGACACATAGTCTACTTAACATGTGTTTTTGCTTCCAGAAAAGGGGCGTCCTCCACATTACGACTCTCATCATCCCCAAACAAAAATCAACACCAGATACTGTAAGTATTGGTTCAGATTCACCTCCGAATTTCGGTTTGAAATCTTCACACGCATATTCATTTGGATAGTCTTTCAAGCTTGGCGTGTTCCTAACGGTTGTAACTTGCATTTTGATCATAATGGATGTTGGGACAGTGTGAGACTCTCAATGAAGAAGAATTATTTGACATACAAGAGCAGCGGGGACTCTTCCAGCTTGGATGGATACACGTATGCTATCTCACTGTTTGGCTTTTCTACGTGCATTCTGTTCTTAGCCTCTTGGCCATGACGCATTAAACTTGGCCTTTGTAAGGAGCAACTAATATTTTTTCTTTGTGTTTCTTAGACACATCCTAAACAATCGTGTTTCATGTCCTCCGTTGATCTGCACACTCACTACTCATATCAGGTCAGTGTTCAATTCCACTTGCAGTTATAGAGGTCTTTTCAGGTCCATGTCACCGTAGACCTTTAGAAAACGATCAGGCACTGTTTTAGCAGTCACCAGGGATTCTTGAGCTTCGTTGGCTTTGATTCTTTTAGAACCAGCTACTTCTTCACTTTTGGTACTGGCAGTGACCAGTTCGGTAGTTCTTTGTTTGTTGTACTTGATTGGACATCTCTTTAGCCCAATATGGGGGTATCAAAAGACAGATTCTGGCGGTAGAAGGTGAAGTATGCGTGGCATTTATCGTAATCCTGGCCTCTCTGACAGATTATGCTGCCAGAAGCTATAGCTGTTGTAATGGCTCCTACAGATACTCGTCGGTAAGTATATCTTACCACACGCTCGTTTTGCATTGTCATTGTTGCGTCCTCTGCTTGCTCATATCTGCACTTCTGGATTCAATAACATCTCTATGTATTTATTCTGGCATGGGATGATGATTTCGGGGAATTGGTTGCAGTAAGTGTGGCATATTTCGCCTTTCCGATCCAGGAGTTCAGGTATTACAAAATTGTAAGGGACGTGGTTTTCATCAACATGAAGAACCACTTGAAGGGGGTCCAATTTATGAAGATTCTTCTCATGTATACTGGGTTAATAATGTAAAATATGACATAGTTGATCTTCGGTAGTAGGCCCTTGTGGTCGCTCCATATCATCAGAATGGTGTTATTTACTTCAAACCCCAAAACAGCAGGGGTGGTACCATTATTACATGAGATATTATACAGTAGTCACTCAAGCGACACTGATGTCGTTTAGCGTCAGGTAGGGTCTTTAACAAATTTCATTTTCATTTCATGTGAATACAGGATAGTGGCGCAAAAGTTCCCCGCTTGGTAGTGTCCATGTGTGCTATAAATAAATGATTTAGTGTGGTTTGAGTCTAAAAAAGCGAAATCTATGAGAGTTTTTTCTCTAGTCTTCTCTTCTCCCTCGACCGTGAACTTGCGTTTGCGATCAACTTTAAGTGACTTTTTTCTTACTCGTTCCTCAGTGAACCTAGGAAAGGTTGTATTGGACAGATGTGTTCTCCGAGGCCTCATCAAAATATCAAATATCAGCTGCTAAGGTCTAAATTCCAGGAGGTAGTGGGCAGCATCTTAGCAACTTCGAACGTCAAAATACCGAGCATGATCTGTATTCAAAGAGGAATTCAACGAAGATCACCTGAAATTGGATTGTTTTTCTGCTGCTGCCAATGTCAGGATGGCTACTGAATTCGACTGGGCGCAAGACCACTTTCCATCTGGTATGAGCTCATCGCAGCAGTGAACATAATTGCAGTCCACATAACACGGCATACATGATCTTAGACATCTGGAACGATCACTTTGGGACGATGAATCAAAATGCGCCAACATCATTCCGCCGGCTAATGCAGAATCCAGATGTGTATGTTACAGTTGTGTTGTAGAAGTCAAGTCAACAAAATTCTATTACACAGTGATTTGTTAACCTTCGTCTTCATCTGGTTATATCTTTCGATTTGTGATTCGAGCTGGTGAAGTTGTCTGTGCAGTCATCCGCAAAAACGACATTTTAAAGAGATTAACATGAAGTGGAAGTTGACCATGATAATGCACTCTTCAGAGAAAATGGCTGGCTTGTCTAGGCTCTGTCGCTAGCTATAATGTTAACCGCCATTTTTTATTGAACATCGGTTTGTCAAGCTAGAGGCAAACAAGCTACGCTGCGCTTCAAGAACCCGCAAATCGGCAGTAACCCTGAACTCCAACATTGAACTGCTCTCAGTGTCCGACATGAGATACATTTCATTGTGATCTCAACTGTTTATCGGTAATCATGACCAAGACTCATAGACGAATGTTGCCAACAATTCAAGATATCCCCTTCTTTCGAAATGGGTAGTACAGTGGATGGTGTATACGCAACTGATTCTAAATTTGTGGTGTCCATGCTTGATGAGCGATCACTTGGGATGCACCAGGAGAGAATTACTACGGTAACTGAACGTGAAGTGAGGTGTTCAAAGAGCTGAAACCTTACGAAACAAGAGGTAACCCCTGCAAGGGAATCACGCCAGGCGTGTTTAGCAACACCAGAGGTCTCTACCGGTTCAATCTACCCCAACTCAAGCCAGAGTTATTTACAGATCAGCAACTTCAAAAACAAATTCTCACTTGGTCTCGTTTCATAACAAGATCAAAGGGTCTATTTCACTTAAGAGTGAGAAAACTGAAGAATTTGTAACACCTAGGCGGGCAAGAGAATGTCTGGCACTCTTCCCGCTAAATTGGTGGCTCTCCAATGCTGATTGAATCGTTAACATTGCCAACTGGTTCATGAGACATGTTCCCAAACATCACGATTCGTTTGTGAGAGGCGAACCGGCAACAAGTCAAGTGATTTATCTACACCGTAATCCTGAACTTGGTTTGAGTGACATGCTCAAATGTGCAAGATTCATCATTGTCGAAAAACATCAGCTATAACAACCTAACTGGGCAACGTGATGTTTGCGGGATCCCAGGGATCTTCCCCATGGGGTTTGAGCGTCCTCACACGGCAAAGAAGGGCTCTACGAGACTCTATTGGAAGCACGTTAACAAGCAAAAAATTAGTACCTTGTGATTGGAATCCGATTTAGCTCAACTAACTAACTGCACACTCTGGTCCACGGCAGAAAGTTCAACTGTTCAATACGCAATATACTAATGTTATCTGGCCTTTCGAAAACCAAAAATTCTTTAAGCTTGATAGTAAACTGGATTCTATTGATCATTCCAGATAGATACGATGCCTCGAGGTTTTTGTCGCATAACTTTAACACAATCGCATGCCTACGTGTATGATTGGCACGTCCACGAAGACGTAAATGCAGACTCTGGAAAGCGATCTACTTCGTTCTGGCCGTTGATGTTGGTAGAGACTATCTACCGAGCATCTGCACAAACCAGCCCCATCTGACAAACTATTGATAAAAATTTCGTACATATTCCTTCTATACAAACACGATGTATGAATCAAAATGTACATTTACAGCTCTGGTCATGCCAAATTTAGATAGTCTTCATTAAACAGTTGAATGAGAAGTATGTTCAGCGAATTCATTGCGCGTCCCAAGTTTCCAAACAAAGAAACACCAGATCCGTACCTAGCAACTCTTGTGGGGCTGGTGCAAAGCGCAGAAGCACGAAGGCTTCTATTTGGCGCAGACACTGACAACATAATAGTCTTAGAATAGGCACAAAATTAACCAAGACTAGAGGCGCACCAAACCCTCCAATTTGAGGTCGCAGGAGAAATATACCTTGAGAGAGAAACTACAAAATAAATCTTGTAACGAGCAATTTTAAAACCGCACTATCTGTCCATTTTTACACAATTTCTTAAACTACTGATGACATGATGCCTAAGGGACAGACACAAGAACCACATGATACGCTCTGTCCACTTAAAAGAAAACTATTACCTCGAATTGTCAGTTGCATAAAAACTATGAAATGACCTTGTCATACAGCAAAAATTTGCCACTGCCAATAATACAAAGCCTCGCCATTCAAGATAGAAGTAGTCAACAAAATAAGATTCAGAGATGTGTTCTGTGCAATATGACAGCAATGAGAGTGCCATGGCAGCCATCGTAAATATCTTCCATCTCTTCCACCGGTAAAATGTAGCTTCTGTGATCAGAGAGTCACAGTTGACGAGCTGAGAGATTAGCGAAACCAGATTGATCTCATTCTGCCGCATTCCACATTCGTCCGACTTGATCACACAATCCGCGCAAATGAAAACTGTGAACATCACGAAATGCAGCTGGAATCGATAAAATCTTGTAAAATATACACGAAGTTGCGACTACCATCAATGACTCGACTTCTTTGCCGCAGGTGGTGCCTCCCGGCGTAGCTCCTTGACAACAGCAGCCAAGGCTTCAGGATTGACGCCGTGCTCGCACAGCGCAATCAAAACGGCAAGCGTCTGCCGGTCCAAACCTGTGCCGAGCAAGTTGGACATCATGTGCACAATATCGAGCGACTCACGCGCCCTCCGCATCGCCACGCCGTCCATCTGTACAGCTAGTCGCAGAAATCCGCAGCAACACAGGGTCAGTTCCTTGATGCAAGCTCATCAATCGCCTTAGGGATTAGAGCATTTCCGCGCACCTGCTCCCTTCTCAATTTCATGGTGCTTGGGTTTACACCAACTCGGCGTCAATAGGGAAAGAAGCCTATGCCCGTCGCCGAAGTTGAAAGACTACTATCATTTCTCGCGTCGTTTCTTATTCAAATGGCAAACAAGTTCTCTAGATAAGCTTTCACTTCACAGCGGTGGATTCCAACGTCTTGCGAACAACTTTTGATTCTCTTTACGAAGACTGAAATCATTTTGTTGGCATCATAGAATTGCTGTGCTACAGTTCAATTAAACTTCGGGTGGCTATTTAATGAATTCCTGCAATTGTTTTGATTAGTTGGCGTTACGAGGAGAGGTAGGTAATGCTCCGAGACGGCAAGGGTAAGTCACGAGGAGCTTGTTTGTTGGGTCTGGTCGTCAGTTGGCAGCGGGGGAACTGCCAAAATTAGGGTTTCCCCCTGACGCACTCTCAGTGGACATGGCGTATGAGCTGATTCAAAACCATGTGGGACGCTTTTCAGACTACCGTCAACATCTCCTTATTCATCATCATTAATGCTTCTCACATATTGATTTGACATGGTGTGACACTAATTGTATATAATGTTGTTTGTTTGTTATGTTTTGTTTTTTCTGTTGTTGTTGTTCAAGTGTAAGAAGGTATATCGTTTTGCTGATCAAAGAAGTATTTAAAGAAGTGTGTTATATTTTACTGCCTAAGCGAGGCATCTATTTGGGATGGGCTATTCTTGTCTTGGGAGGTGGCGTGTTTCATCTCATTGAATTGCTTGCATCTTTTTCACTTAACTTTCCATCTCTAATCCAAACATTTTTCAATTTTTATTTTTTGATCTGTCTTATTTATTCAAAGGTCTTCTATTTAAGACTTCTAGTATTTTTCTCCAATATGCTTTCTGTAATTTGTAAAATTATACTAAACTATGATTTACTTATTTATTGTCTTTTTAGCTAAGTTTCTTGTTGAAAAATTTGTTCATTGTATTACTTCTATATTGTCCAAAAGCAAGCTCTCACTATTAGCAGCCAAAAAATCTTTAACCTTTGGTGTTGGTAAGAACTTCTTCAAATATTGTTTAATAAAGTATAAGAGTTGGTCTTATAATCAATCTTAAGGATTGTGTGCTTGGTTATTACAAAATAGTTGTACTTTATTCCTAAACAAGATTATCAACTATGTAGTTTTTAAATCTATGTAAAATAGATTCAATAATAGTAGGAATATAAAAGAAGTAAGAGACATTTATTAAATTGTTTAAACTTTGCTTCCTTACATTGACTACAATTTTTTTGTGCTACTTCAATCAAATCAACATAAATTCTTTTTTTAATGTAAAGTTATTCCCTAAGATTTTATAATTTAAATAAAAGTATCATGGATATTACTAACACTAGTAATTACCTAAATAAGAGAAGTTAGGTAGAAGTAAGTAAAAGTTACTAAATGATATAATATCTTATGGAGGAGTTTTTTAGAAGCTTCATAGAAGCAGATTTGACTTTATACATATTTGTAGGTGATTAATGGGTTGAAAAATTGGCCAACAAGTTGGCCATGTCTTGTAGATATAAAAAATGGTCTTACAAATCAAATATATTTTGAAGGTCTTTTAAAATATTGTCATATAGTTCCTACTTAGATATTATATATAGAAGTAAAAATGTGGCCTTCTTCACTCTTGTTAACACTTTTCTTGCTTCCAATCTAATTTCAAGAGTCTATAGTTTTTTTATCTTTAAAAATAGTCATTCTAGATTCTTCTTGAATATATATATATATATATATATATATATATATATTTTATACTTATTTTTATTTTTTTTTATCTTTTTTGAGATACATTTTATCAATTTATTTTTATTCTTAGATTCTTAACCTTGACAATTTGAAAAGAGTGTTAATTTATTCTTCTTATTTTGTTTTAAAAGAGAGTAGATTATCCTTCTTTGTGGAAATTTTTAATTAAATATTAAAGGTTTTAAATTTCCTTCTTCTAATTTGACTTGTGGATTTATTAAAATTATTTGGTATAGATATGGAAAGAAAAATTATAGATGCTATACTTAACAAAAGTAAGAATAAATTTATAACTATTCTAGAACTTCACAAGCTTGTTACTACTCTTAAAACAAAACATTTACATATTATCAATGTGTCACACAGATACGTAATTATCTAAATAAAAAATATTTTGTAGAATGTAAATGAAGATAGATTTGATAATATCTTGTGAAAAAGCTTCTTAGAAGCTTTATAGATGCAAATTTGACTTTATGCATTTTTATAGTCATTTGGTAGGTTGAAAACTTGGCCAAGAAGTTGGCCAAGTATTGCATATGTTGGCAACTTGTGATAAAAGTTGGCCATATAGTGCACATGTAAGAAACTTGTCTTATAAGTTAGATGTGTGTCTTGAAAGTTGGACACATATTGGAGGTCTTATAAAATATCGCTACATAATTCCTAGTTAGATAGTATATATGGAGGCAAAAGTAAAGCCTTCTTCACTCTTGTCAACACCTTTCTTATTCTTTGTCTTATTTCAAGACTCTCTAATCTTCTTATTTTTGGCTATAGAGTTTTTAGTTTTAATATCATACTATTTTTGAATGAATATCTATTCTTTTCTAATGAAATAAGAATGTATTGATGTTTTGACTTCTTATAATTCATGTCCTTGATACAATGTCAATCATAAAAGTACTATTTCTATACCTATGGAAGAAGTCAAGAATGAAGTCTCATGTCTTTTCTAAGAAATTATATATTTGAGAGAAGTGATTCAATTGCATAATTGAATGTCGAAAGTCTTACTACTACAAGTATGAGGGAGATTACAATTAGTATGTCAAAGAAGTTTGATAGAACAAGATAAAAATTTCATGGATTTCTACAACAAGTCAAGATCTTTCTAAGGTTTCATATTTTTTAATAACTTGATAGATTTATTCAAGTTGGACTTATAATTGTAGTACTATTTAAAAGTTCATTCTCTTGGTTTTCACATTTGATAGAAAAAATCGTAATTTCTACATGATCTAAATTTAATTTTAAATTATTTATATCCATATTTTAAAAAATGGTTGAAAAAAGTAGCAAAGATAAAATTTATATCTTTATAATAAGGATTAAAATTAGCTACTATATATATATATATATATATATATATATATATATATATATTAAATTTTTAAACCTTCCTTGCAATGTAGATTAGAATAATAAATTCTTTGTCAATGAATTTTGATATGGATTAAAAAAATATTTAAAAGATATATTAATAAAAATATTAAAAGCATATTCAATAGATAATTTATTATTCAAAGTATTGCATGCAATAATTGAATTTTTAAAAGATGCTAAGAATAAAGATTTGGTTGCAATGAAACAAATAAAGTCACAACATTAATTTCTAAGTTTTCAAAAACTTATTCATTAAGATTGGAACCTATGAAAATTCATACAATACATTTTAAATCTATGATTGAACTTGCAAGTTAGATACATTTTGGAGGTCCTTTGAAACATTGCCACATAGCTCCTAGTTAGATAGTATATATTGATGCAAGAGAAAGCTCTTCCTTATTATTATCAACTCATTTCTTGCTTCCAATTTAATTTCAAGAATCTATAATTTTTTTAACTTAAGAAATAGTCATTCTTGTTTCTTCTTGAATATATATATATATATATATTCTCATTCTTTTTTATTATTTTTCTTTAAGACACATCTCACATATTTATTTTTATTTCTTAAATTCTTCTTCAAAAAAAAAAAGCCTTGAAATGACATCCTATCTAATTTTTTTTATTTATAAAAGAATTGAAAAGATATATTTTTATAGGTTTTTTTATAATTATAATTTATACTATATTATCTCAATATACAAATGTCACCTTAATTAAAGTCATTTGGATCAAACCCTTGTTCATCAACTAGTCCAAAAAAAAAAAACTATAAATATATAGATAAAAATAAAAACCCTATTGAGATATAATCTTTTAATTAAACTGGAAAAAAAGTTATATAATGATAGGATCTAGAGTCCTTCAGAGCTCATCAGTTTATTCAAAGAAGTTTTTATTTTTTTATTTTTTATTTTTTTAGAATAAAGATGGTTTTATTTCTTGTACAGATTTCTTCAACCAGATTATAGGTGATTTTGAATTAATCACCATTCATTCTATTTATTTTATCTTACTCTAAATTGTCAAATTCTACAAGAAATTTGTTGGTCCATTTTGGATTATGAGATAAATGCAGCATATAGCCATTGATTTTGGGTAGATTGTTTGCATGTTTTACAAATTATTAAAGGAAATTTTGATGGTAATGGCTTTGTTTATATTAGGTTTTGATTATTGAAGGTAGGTTGTTAAATCTATAAGACAGAAACTATGTACTACTTTATGGTTGTACCCAAATAATAAAAATAATCATAATTTCAACCAAATACTCTACAATTGAAAGTTTATAATGGATATTATTCAATTTAAAATCCATTATAAACTTTATGGATTTATTTCCATTATGTGAACAGCACCATGATTCGTCACTCTCCCTCTTCTACCCAGAATTAGTATCGCAAACGAGACCTCTCGTTCAATTTGAAGACGCTTCGTCCAAATTTATTAACTGTTCACCAGGGAGCCTGTCTAACCTGACGAACGTCCAATCTGTCCACTCCGTCAGTTGCTATGGACGAAAAACGCTCTTTCGGGCACCAGTTTTCTTCCGTGCAATATCTTGTTGCTCCTTCGTTCGTTGCACTTATCTGCAAATTAGGGCTAGCGTCCCAGGCTTCAAGACATTGTACCGAATGTCTGGACTAGAGATGATTAACGGAACCTGAGAGAGCAAGAGGGAAAGAGAGAGATGCCCATTTCAATGCATCTCGGGTGTACGAAGAGTACTAGAAATCATGTAGCCACCGAGGTATGATCGTATGATCGTTTCAGCTTCGATCAGCAGGAGGTTACTCTTCTAGAAGTAGGTCGGTGAATGTGCCAGAGGGGATCCAAGCAGAGGTGGGAATAAAATCTCCTGGAAGAGAAGCGGGTCGTTCGGTCTGCATCACCTGGAGTTTCCTCATCCGCGTCGTAAACAAGCCTCTAAACAATGATGTGATAAGTGCTTCAAAACTGGTCCAGTCGTTTCCCTTAGACGGCCTTTATTCCAACTCGTGATGTGTGGAAGGTGGATGGAGCTTTGTCAATGATCATTCTATTCTCTGCCCAACGACCTCAAGCAGATGAGTGGAAGAGCGGTTCAGGAACTGCCTGACTTATGGTGGAGATTACCAGTACATTCTCAGCAGACATATCTATCACTGTATCTCCCAGTTCAACAATTAATTCAGTGCAGTCTTTCGTCAACGTTGTGAATACCTGCAGGCATTCATGAGTATTTGGCACTACGAATGCCAGGAGGAGCTGAAGCGTTTCTACACCCCAACATTGGATTCGGTAGCTTGAATTTACAAGAGTCCATTTGCAAGAGTCACATGTTGAATGTGAATCTAGCGTGCAGCTGAAAATTTCTCAAGAAAAAATGCCATGATTTGCTTGTGATATTCTACACGCTTCATGCTCCAGTCAGTTCATGTAAATTACAAGGTCAGTCATCAGGAACAATTTTGAAGTAAATTGACTTCGATCGGAAGCATTCCGAGTCTCAAATAACTTTTGGGAGAACGTAACAAAGTCCACGAGAGAATCTACTTTAGCGCAAGTGGTTGTGTTTTGCACAAAGAGGACTCCTACAGTTGGGCTCATGAGCTACTGTTCAAGATTTCGCTCATCCAACCTCCCAGCTCCTCCTTTCCCATGCCAATTCTGAGAGTCGGTTACCATCTGCGGTGTCTACATCGCTCGTCAACATCAGAAAATATTATAAAACAGGTGATGAAATTCCAAAGTGAGGGCAAACACAGCAAACGAATGCACGACAGGAGAAACTTCACCGACATTTCTCTCATGCAATGTGCAATGTTCAGTATTGCACAAAGTACGATTTCTGCTGGTCAGAAGTGCAATGAAGCAGTACATGATATAGTGTGTTCCAAGGTCACCTTGTACATAGATCACCACCAAAACATCTCCTGTTGTTTCAATTGAACCCACTTTCATGCTTGTGACCTTGGTCTTCGATCCTGACCAGGAAACCTTTCGCAGCCGAAAGCAACAGGCCTGAGTTTTAGATAGTCACGGGGGTCTGTTCAAGATCATTTTCATCAGCTGAGGGCTTTCGGCGTGATTTAAACCCTGGTGGAGATGGCGAAAACTCGTAAGGCAGGTCAGGTAGTTCAAGCTCTCCATTAAGGATCTTCACGACGTCACTCATACTTGGACGAGCGATGGGTAACCTTTGCAGACAGAGAAGCGCGACGGTGATGCACAATACAGCTTGATCCTCAGAGTACGCCGATTGAAGATTTGAGTCAACTAAGTCCAGCACATTCCCATTGCGGGCCATCAATCGTGCCCATGAAATGAGATTCGCTCTCTCGAAGTCAGTCATCGGGGATGCATTGACTTGCAACGGCCGGCGTCCAGATACCACTACCAATAATAGAACACCGAAGCTGTAGACATCACTTTTCTCTGAGTTTGATCCCATTCCGCCAGATTCAGGTGCGACATAGCAGACGGTTCCACGCATACTTGGAGTACTGCTGATCCTTCGATTTGAGTCGCCACTCCAGAATTCCTCTCGTCTTGATCTCGACTTTCGACTCTCTCTCCTGATATCCAGAGTTTTGCTGTGTCCTAATTCTGCACTAAACTCTTGACTGAAGTCCCGTATCCAGTTTGTGTAATCATCTTTTTTGTGCCTCCGGCTGCCACGATTACGATCCAGTCTCGTGGTCGACCCTTTCTTAAATTCCCGGCTCTTGTTGCTAAGTTCATCGCAATACTCCTCACGCCACCATTCTCGTCCTTTCAGCTTGTCGTGATTGGCAGGGGTCTTCTTCTTCGTTTCCTTGCTCAACTCGCCTACGATGGCGCCTATCCAACCGGAACTTCTCGACCGCTGCCTTCGAAAATCGGTGCGGCTCTTGGTTCGTCGTGTTTCGCCCTCAGTGAGAAGCTCTCCGCTTCGTTGGAGCTCTTCTGTGTTTCTAGTGCTCTTCGTATCTAAGTCTTGAGAATGTTGGCTACCATTTCCATCGCCCTTCTCCTGTTTCCACCACCAGTCCCGACTCCACGACCCCAGTCCACTCCCCTTCACTCCTCTCTTCTTCAGGATGTCCACAGTCTCAGAGCTGAATTCCATATCAGGTTGCGAGGGACTCACGGTACTCCACCCTTCCTCCCCAGTCCCGTCCATACTTAGAATCACACTCTTGTCTGCATCGGTCTCTCCTTCTTCTGCACTTAAGAAATTTTCCCCTTCCACATCTGATTTAATTTCCTTGGAAACTGGCGATTCTGGTGCAACACCGCCAACCCTATCACTTTTTACGGGTGCACGTGGGATGCACTCACAATTGGAGTTCCTTACAATGCTGGTAGGTGTAGTATTCCCTACCTTTGAGCAGGGAGACTCCAAAGTTAAGCCACTCGTTTCTTCCTCAGTCGACAGACCATCGTACAAAGAAGCCGAGCTTTTCCGATCCCCCTGAGGATTGGGGTCGAATGCAAACGATTCCACGGACTCTCCCTTCAAGGAGTTGCCCAGTCTAGCGTCATCCATATTCTTCCTCTCAGCTTCCTCTCTTCGTTTTCGACGCTTGATCCGATCTCGTACTATCCTTTCATACCTCATCCTCTCCTTCTCAATGGCTTCTCTTTGCGCTTCAAGGGTTTGGACCTCAAGGATGCTTTCTTCAGTCTTCACTCGAGCAAGACCAAAATCTGCAAGTTTGGCGTGGTAGTTGGCGTCTAACAACACGTTGCTGGGCTTGACATCACCGTGGATGATCGGAGGGTCACACTTGAAATGCAAAAAGGCTAACGCTTCGGCGACGTTGAGAATGATGCGGAAACGCATTGCCCAACTTAATGGTACAGCGTAAACTTCATCAAAGAGGGCCTCCTGTAAGTTTCGATTCTCCATAAACTCATACACGAGCAGGCGCCGTGGACCTTGTGCACAAAATCCTAGGAGCCGGACAACGTGCGGAGAGTTGATTCGGCCAACAAGTAAGACCTCATTTTGGAAGGCAACCTCACCTTGAACAGAGGAAACATCAATTCTCTTCACTGCGATTTCGGTCCCGTTACGGAGCTGACCCTTGTAGACTGCCCCGAACCCCCCTTGGCCAATTTTCTGAGCTTCTGAAAGACTTGCAGTCGCTTTCTTGAGTTGCCTATATGAAAACTTCTGAAGTGTTTTAGAGGTATAACGGTCATATGGGCTTCTCCTGCTGGTTTTCAGCCGACGATAAATAAACAAAGCAGCGAAGAACGCCACAACAACCACAGCCAAGCTGCATCCAAGACCGAGACCCAGTGCAAGATGGTGGTTAGAGTACCCCACATTATTTGAAGGTGAGCCAAGAGGCGAGTATGCAGGAGGCACATTGGCCTGCAAGACTCGCCTCGGAGCCATTTCCACCCAAATTAGTGCTCTTGAACAGCCATGGTTAACTGCTGAGCTAGATACTGAAGAACGGTGAGTTTCTCAATAAATTAACTCATGCTGTAATGAGGTTGGCCTCGGACCGTTGTCAAAGCACCATTAAGATCAACGCTCTTGTGTCTCTGGTTTGAAATGAGGCATGCCGCTATGTGGAACAATAAGTATTTCTATACTTTAGGAGGACCCGATAAGAAGCTCTCTGAGTAACTAACCTTCCATGAAGATCCGATTTTGGAACCTGCATCGACTGTCTCAATCTCAAACCTTTTCACCCAGAATTAATTACTGGCATCCTGAGTCATTCTGTTGTTTCTTTCTCGTGAGGAGATACACTGCCCTACAGATGCAAAACTCAATTTTCGGTGAAAGGTCCAATTGCTTCAAGTTTACAAGGATAGCTATAGTTCAGATGAAAAACCCCGATGTTGCGAATTCCATGAGGTTCTCTATTCTTGTGTTTGTCTTCCAGGGTTAGACTCTCTTACAGCTGCATCTTAAGTAACATTCTTCAGCAATAATCACCTTTCGATTCGAATCCGAACCGAGTCTTCTCTGAATTGTTTTTCACCATCAAAATTCGACTCTCCATATTGACGCTTAACATGCAGCACCGTCAAGCCCATATTCTTGGATCCCTCTGAGTACTGACCTTCACATCTGTATTTTGTAACGAATAGCATGTTAACAATCGGCGGCCGCCAGAACTATCAAATCATAGAAATCCAGCACTCAGGGTAACTGCATAGCTGTTTCTCAGAAGACACCATCACCTCCTTTCTCATGCTAATGGAGAATCACTGTTTTAAGAGATCTACCTAAGTTTCAGGTCTAAGATGTTAACCACTGACTTTAAGCTCCGACTAGCAAGACTGTAGAATATTACGCTGTGAACTGGATGCGTAGAAATCGTTTCTCAATGAAGCTCTCAATCAATCATCAAGGATGGAAAAGTGCGCAACACTAAAGACGGGCGAAAAATTTGCAAACTGAAATTAGAGTATCACATTCTTAAAGCTAAATCAAGCTCCACGCTGGGTAAGACTAAGGGCGTCTCTAAACCCCTACGAATCCGTACGCAGAAGCATGCTAGCCCTCAACCAAAGCCTAAAGAAATGCAATAGTCTCTCGTAAGGTTTCAGTCGCAAGGACGAGCTGAAACAAATCTTCATGATGAGGGACGAGCGTGTACCTATACATCATTAGATTAAGTAGAATCCAGTGGAAGCCAAACATAGCTTGGCAGCGCTCTTAAGGGAAGACGGAGGGGAAGAAGAATAAAAAGAGAGAAAGAAAAAAAAAAAAAAAAAAAAAAAAAAACACCAACCATGCTCCAACATGACGCATTAGGTTGCACCTCCGAGAATGCTCTAAGCCAGCTGCAATAGGCACGAGCAGAAGTCTTCAAGCCTGCAGCACGGAATCTAGAAAATTTTCAAAATTAAATTTTTAAAGGATAAACAACCACAATCGCTGGTGTTTCTATAATCCAAACACGCCAAGCCTTAGTTTCGATGAGGAAGCTCTCCACAGCAGACAAGAGGACGGGACTGACCACGCTGCAAGAAGCCCGACGAAACGGCGTCAATCTCCCGCAGGTCCGCCTCTTCTCTCCTCCCCGCAAGTGGTGCAGGGGCACACCCGCGCACTCCAACACCTTACGAACGAGCAAAACCGCATGGATCACACAAGAGAACTCGAGGCACATCCTCACCACCACCACCACCATCTAGGCTTCAATTGAGATCCCAGGACGAGCTCCAGCGCAGCGTAATTGCAGCAGCAGCAGGCCAGTCCTTCACCGCGAAAGGGCAGGAACACTGCGACGACAAGTCGCGGATCTTGGGGCTGACTGCCGAAGTTGCAGAGGAGCACAATGTGTATGTGTGTGTGTGTGTGAAAGTTTTTATTTTTTTATTTTTATTTTTATTTTTGTTGTTTCCCTTGGGCCTCACCCTGCCATGTCCCGCGCTGCAGCTTGTGTCGTGGTGGAGCAGCAGCGACGACGGGAGGAATCCTGTATCCCTGTCTTCGATTCCAACACTCCTCCGCCACTACGAATGAAGTTCGACGACGGCGCACAACGGCGCACGCCCGACGGCGACGAATGCGTCCTCGTTGCGGTACCAGGTCGGCACAGTCGAGGCAGACCTGTCGGACGGATGAGACTCCGTATATGCGTTGGTGAAGGGTGTGTTTGGATGAACAATGTTTCGAATTCGTGGGTGTAATTTGGTATATTTTCATCTGGATAATGAGCTTCGGAGAAGTTGTGGAGGTTGGCTTTTAGGGTTTCACTAGGCTAGATGATAGTGAAATGAATGAAGGGAGTAACCTGGTTGTATCTTAAGGCATTGTACACTGCGACTTTGTGGTTTTAGTGACACATTTACCATTTGGAAAGTACTTGTTTCTTGCATTTTTGTTTTTAATTTTTTAAAAAAATAAATCTCACTTCAATATTCAATTTATTTCAATTTTAATACTGAATTTTAGATGAAGATAAGTTCATGAAATATTGCTTTTCAATGAAAACAACAGTAATAATATTAATAAACTCTATATTTAAACATTTATCCTCTGCCCCACGTCTTGGTATTGTCTTAGCTCAATTATTGGATCAGTCTCTATTTGAACTATTAAGCACTTTTGCAATGGAACTTCTATCATCTTGAATTAGTGGATAAATAAATTTATTATAGTTGAATTAAATTATCTCATATAAATATAAATATATATATAAACATAAAAAAAATAAAAAATAAAAAAACTATAGTCATCATATTTGTAATGTTTATTTTCTAATATATAATGGTATTTCTTGTAATTAATAACCTTAGTAGATTTAAATTTTATAAATTATGTAAAATCATATAATTTTGATGGTTTTAAGTGTTTTTGGCAAAAGTAGAGCATGTGGACAATATATTACTATTAATTATAAAGTATGCATTAATTATTTCTTAGCATTATAATACACCATGGTCTTGTTTTCTTCTCACCATCTCATTGCTTTTGTCATAGCTAAGAAAAGTCTAAACTTAGTTAAAGTTTAAAAAATTCAAAGAAAAAGTGACAAGAACTAGATCTTTGTTGAAGTGCATAACTAAAAAATCAAGTCAAAAGAAGAATGAACCATGCACTAGCATAGGTAGCAACAAAAGTTGGAAATAATGCTAATACATAATATGAATTCCAACATTTTTTTTTATTTATGATTTCTTGCTATGCATATATAAGTAATAATAGATAACTAACAACAATGAATCATTCCTTGCATTCTTTGTCATTTTAAAACTTAACCAACATACAACAACTAAAAATTTGTAATAAAAAAACACAAAATTGTGGACAAATTGCACAACATACTCTTGTAAAGTGGACAAAGGAGGAATTTTGTCTTATTAAACCTCCTTCACAACCAACAATTTTGAATATTTTGTCACATTATGAAAAATATGAAAAAATGAGAGGTAGAGAATTAATTAGTTGCTATGAAAGTATATCTCATTTATCAGCAATACAAGGTGACTTACAAATTATAAATATGTTAAGAATATTAAGTATAACAAAATTCTAAAGAAGTAATACAGTCATGTGACACTCAAAAAAAAAAAGTAGATAACTCAAAAATAGATATAAGACAAAAACTATAATGGCTATTATCAAATACAAAGAAACTAGAGATTCTTGAGTTGAAGAGAAGAATACAAGAAATACATTGATAAGAGTAAAGATGGTTTTATTCTTGCTTCTACATATATTATCCAACTAAAGACCCACAAGGCAATGTTCTATAGATTATCTGATATTTGCCTAATGTGCAAAACATGTGACTAACTTATGAAATAAGTTTTCAACATGTGTGTTACATGGCCAACTTGTTAGTCAAGTTTTAAACATATCAATCACCTACAAACACTTGTAAAATTCAATCTACACCTACAAAGCTTCTTTACAAAATATCATAAAATTTACTTACTTTTACTTCTATATAATTCTTTTTATCCTTCTAATTACTAATATTAATGTTGATGTCTATAATAGTATGTCATTTTGAAGAAGATATTTTCAACATAGACAAATCATGATTATTTTACATTGTCATTGACTAGACGATTTTCTAGCTAATAAATTGAATATACAAAAAAGGCCAAAGATCATATTTATATTGCTTTTACAATTAATGTTTTGGAAATTCAAAATCTGCAATGGTTTATTATTGTAAAAGCTCAAAAACCATACACATTTAAAAAGAAGATTGGCAAATAACTTTGGACATTTTTTTGTTCTTTGGCATAAATTTGTTCAAGTCACAAAATCATCAATGATAATTAGCATACAATTGAAGTACAACCTTTACAACCATCTAATTGTTTATAATTTTTATTTTAAGCATTAGCAAATGTGTTGTCACTCTAGCCTAATGGAAAAATTCTATATGTCATCCAGTTTATAAATGAGTAGAAAGCAATGAGTTTGAAGAAAAAAAATAATTATCAAATTAAGAAGTATATATCATTTGGTATTGAAAATCCATTGCAACTTTGTTGTAATTAGAGCACAAATGATTATTCTAACAAACAATGTTGTACAGCCATTCTTGTGGAATCTTAGGAAAAGTTTAAAGATGCACTAGTACAACAAGTACTTGAATACGATTAAAATTTAACAAGTCAAATCTCAATACTTGAACATAATTTTGATTCTTGTACCTACTTCATCTAAGCAACCATTGTACTTAACTACAAATATTACTATAATATACAATAAAAAATGTGAGTGTAGTCTAAAAGATCCAAGTAAAAATATCCAAATAACTTTATTAGTATATAATCAAATTAAGTTATTAAAATATCAATTATACTTGTGATCCTTATAATTTCTAATCTTAAATAACATGAGAGACTTTCAATTAAAAAATAAATAAGAAATTTTACTTAATTCTTTAGAAAATATAAATCACCAATAAAAACAAGCATGAAATAGAAGAAATAAGCAAAATAAAACTCATCTTAGATTATGTTCAATAAAATCTTTAATAAAAATTTAAATTTATTACTTTTAGCATGGCTTAAAGTAATAATATTTTTTTCTATATTAAGATAGATATTGAACAGATTAAAAAAATATGTGGAATAAATAAAGACTTTTCTACCTCATTTTATATATGTTATTGCAAATGTATGACTAGTAAGAATAAATAGTATATTATGTAATGTAGCATTCTATTTATAAATATCAATATCTTTACTAGCATTACCAAATTATTAGCTAGTTTATTATGACAAGATGGTTCTTAAACAACAATTGATATTTATTTTTTGTTTCTATAAAATTCAAAATACATCTTCACATTGATTTTTTCACTAATTAATTAATATTACAAAAGTCATAGAACCTTAATATATTTGAATTTCAATAGAATAAAAGATAATTTCTTAAATAAAAAGTTAGAGATAAAAAAGCTTAAAGCATGTTTAGCATAAATTATAAAATTTCTCACTTAATTACTTACTTCATATATATATATATATATATATGATATAAGAGAAGTTATAGATTTATAACTTGAAAACAATCTCAAGTACTATTACTTTCATATTAAATGTTCTTTATGCCAATATATTATAATACAAAAATGGATCATATTGGATTACAATCTATAGTATTATATTAAAGCAATAAAGAATTAAGATACAAAGTCAATAAAAAGATCACATTTAAATGGATATGATGAATTAATTTGAATAGTAATTGCAGCTAAAGGCAATAAAGAATTCCTAAGCAATCTAAGATTATACTATTATTCAATTTTAAATCTAATTTTTAATCTTCTAGTTTATAAATAGAAATATAGCTAAGATATGATAATATATATTATAAAATTAGAAAGAGAATTCTTACACTGATCCTTATTTATCTTAGAATTTGGCTCAACAAAGTGAAGTGGTATTTTTGATCCAAGTTACTTATATAACTAGGAAAATATATGGTTTAAGGTTATAGTTTAAAATAAAGCAATGATTACTTAGTTAATATGGCATAAAGAAATAGCAATTAACAAGTGGAAAGCAAAATTTAACAAGTTATCAATAGAGTGCCTACTATGTCACATATGTGACACAAAATATACAATGCACAAATTTTGGGAATGCCCTTACTTAAGTTAAATATACAATGCACAAATAAGTTACTCACTAGTCTCATAAGTTAAAGCCCAAAAAACCTTTTTCATGGAAATAAGCAATGTTTGCCAAAAGATTGAATTTAACATTGAAAAAGTTTAATCAATTGGATTCTTTGGAGATGAAGTTCTTTAAGTGCTATATGAAAATAAAAGGATGCAAAGGTCTTTGAGAATGTAATCTAAACCAATAGCCACACAAGACACATTATATGGACAAGCCTCATTAAATATGGGAGATTACTTTAGAAAGATATCAATAAAAAAATCAAGAAAAAACATCAAAGATTGAAACATGCTTGGTGAAGAGACAAGACAATTTATGCATAGCAAGTAACATGTTGGAAAAAGATATTTTGGCAATATAAAATACCACAAGGTAACACAATTGTATACTTAAATAAAAATATACATATGGATGTATGTATATGTATATATACACATATAAAGTTATACTTGTATTAATATTATTTTTATTAAAAAAAAACCTATTATGTCTGCTCTAGTACAAGAATATTAGAGCACAAGACAGGATGTATCTAAATAAACAAATGAACATTATAATTTCAACGTGACAGATAAATCCCATCCAGGTACAAATAAATATAAATAAATAAATAACTAAATAAATAAATAACTAAATAAATAAATAAATAACTAAATAAATAAATAAAACCATGTGGATATTGATCTGTTTACAGAATCCTATAAATATTGTTTTCTCATTAAGAAACCCTAAAACATGATCTTAGGAAGAGAGAGTAGTGGAACCCAGCTTCCAAATCAAGTTTAAAAGTGTAAATTGTTCTGCAGTTGATAACTTTCATGACTCATCCGAAGTTCCTTGTAGACATGAGATAGGCATCTAAAGTTGTTGTTGTATTTTTTATTTATTTTTATTTTGTTATTTTTGGTGTACTACAACTCTAATGAGCAACAGAAATTACCTGTCCTGTAAAAGAGATCACAATTTGCATTAAATTGAGATGATTCTTTATTAAAAGTACAAAAGTCATCAATTCATTTTTCTTGAATAAATTGTCTTCATTGCGTAGTGTACAATGGAAGGTTTCTTTTTTTGTAATTGTAATAATAAACTTGTTGGCTTTATTGGGTTAATCATTGCAAAGGAAGAGAAGTACCACTTGAGAAAACAAACAAAAAAACAAAATAAAAAATAAAAAATTATTTGGGCCATCCCTAGTGAAAGATTCTTGTGTGAAAAATGCATCCTAGTCATGAAAAAGTTGTGTGGATATGGTCAAAGTGAATAGAAAGAATCATGTGTGAAGCAGAAGTAGACATAGACCACAGATTTGCATTAGAAAGGTCAAAAGTTGAGAGACTTGGAGTCAAAACCAAGCTCATGTACCACAACCCTAATAATGCAATGCTGACCAGTCATACATTTTACACCAAACAAATACACCACACTTTCTAAGTTAACTATGTTGTGACTGTACCTTTGCCACTACTGATGGCAATTGTTTCATTTTTTTTATTTTTTTACAGACAATGTTTAGGGCTTATTTTGTTTTCTCAAGAGTCAAACAATCTTTGTCACTTTTACTGTGAAACAAATAGATATCAATACTACTGATAAATTGGGGTTTTTTTTTTAAAAAAAAAAAAAAAATATGATGAAATAAAAGTACAAAAAATGAATTACAAGTGTAACAAATGATTTTTCATTTTACTCCTTAATATGTGTAGGTGTGCTTATATTTCAAAACAAATTGGTGGTTATTGTAGATTTGTTGTCCAGCTAAATTTAAGAGGTGCGTCTCATATTCAAAAGACAAGTTTAATTTGAAAACGACAAATTATAACTTATATGAATGCAAGACTATCTATATATATATATATATATATGTTTATCATATATCTCCAGTGAGAGATTATCGATCATACAAAATTAAGACCCAAAATATCTACATATAAGTGTAAACATTCTTCAAGCTTACAATCAAGAAAATATCATCACATATGTAACCTAAAATAATAGTAATAATAATAGTACCTGTTAAAGATTAATGAAGGTAAATTGTTATTATTATTACTATTTTTATTAGAATACCATATGGTGGCTTTGTCTTTTTCCCTACAAAAATGTTAAAAGTTTAAGTTGTTTGCTGGTAGCTTACAATGTGTGATATCAATAACAAAATTTCTTATTATTTATTAAGATGCCTTTGATAGTTTTAGAGTTACCAAGTAATAGTTTAAGATTACTGTAATGATTAATTGATATAACAATAACTCTGTTAAGTACTTTAAGAACATAAAACAAGAGAAGAAAATAAGTTAAATATTACACTTAGGGTTCTGAAGGCAAATCCCAAAGCTCAATTTACAAATGAATACCACATGACTTTTATATTTAAGAGTTGAGTTTAGAGTAGGAAGTTGTGCTCCTTATTCATTGCCTCCAAAATTTGACAGGCACTCTAAAAATGTTTGGACCTACCCAAATTTCTTACTTGAATGAATATTAATTTTATGTAGGCATCCTCCGGTTGCATATTTTGGAATATGCTAAAAATAGAATAAGACTCTAATTTTAAGTTTTTAAAGGTTGAAGGTAAAAGAATCCCCCAAATATTTCTTTTGTCTTCTGAAATCTTATTTAAAATATATTTAATAAAAATACACATGCATCCAGCATCTTTATAAATACATTCTTGAACAGGTTTGTAAGAACATGTGTTTCTGATATAACATTCTTTAAATATGTAATAACTCTAGTTCAATTCAGACACCCAAAAGTTCTGAAATAATTATTCTGTGATAATCACGCTCCATTCATTGTAAATTACGACCTTCACTATTCACAATGATGTAATTTTTATATTAATAATAACTGAAGTTGTACTGCATGAAAGGTAGACAAGCTTCTATTAAATGGTTAAATGAATTGATTCAAAATTATAGGTATTTGATGTTCCAAGTTTACACACATGCATACATTTATAAACAATAGTGTGTATATATACTATAATAATAATAATAATAATAATCATACTGAATCACCATTGGATGTACGTTATAATATTTTTGTGTTATTAAAACTCTATACAACTCTATTCCAATGAATGTTTAATATGGCATTGTTTTCACAAACTTTTTTTTACTTCTGTCCTCAATCTTCTCCAAGACATGAAGGACTTTTAGAAATAATAATAATAATAATAATAACAATAAAAAAGATAATTATACAAATGTAATAATAATAATAATAATAATAATAGTAATATACTTCTTTTCAATCTAAAAAGTATAAGCTATCAATATAAAAATTTAAGATAATTTAAAATAAAACTTCTTAGTCTTGTACACTCAAGGATGATCAAAATTTAGACTAGTCTTATCACTATTTTTGTAAATTATTATTTTTAGTCTTCTTTAAACTATGCATTGTAAAATTTTCTATTTTAATGTATATTATTGTTTATATGTATTTTTAAAGAACAACTCTCTTTTTGTATCTTATTGCTGTATGCTCTATAATGAAATTTAAATCATTTTTTGCATTGAAAGAAATAAAAGTAAATACTTTTTCATGCATCTTCTCACCTTTAAAGTCGTAAATTAGTTTTCTTGAAAGTAACATTATAATAATTCTGTAAAAAAATTTAAACTTGACTTTTTGTTAAAATTTAATCACATGTGTTTTAAAATTGATGTTTTCATACTTTATAACATGATTGGAATCTTGTTGGTTATTGCATAAATTATATCTTATTTTAATTGCATTATTCAAATCTATTTTAAGAACACATCAAAAACTTCAAAATATATTAGAATTTTAAAAAATCCATAACATCGTACATTTAATAGATAAAGTTTTGATGAACATAACTTAAGATGATACTTTTATAGTTACAAATTAAAGACAAGTTTAATTAGTTGACAAGTCTTCTAAACTTAAGTTATTATTTTTTCTATAACACTTATTTAGTAAATTATCTTTTTATTTCTATCTTTCTTTTTTAAAAATATAAATAAAAAATAAAAAAGTAAATAAAACATGAATCACAATAAATTGTTGCTAAAATAAGTTATAATTTTATACAACTGCTAAAGAAATTTGTTCTATATTATCATTTGCTTAAAGTTATACATTCTTTATTGGTTAAAACATAAATCTAAGTCATATTAAATTTTTGGATTTCTTTGTTTGTTCAAACATTTATATTATTATTGATTTTAATTTCTACTACTCTATATGTTAAATATTCAGAATTATCAACAAGGTTATTCCAAAATCAATCTATAGACATATACAACCTTTCAAAGAAAAAAATTATTATATATAATAAATAAATAAAAGAAATAAAAATCTATTTATTTTTAAAATATAAGTTTAATTTTTTATAGATTAATCATATTATCAAAGATGCAACTTGATTGTTTTCAACATGCATTGAATATATATATATATATATATATATATATACAATTTTAGTGCTATTTGTACATGTAAAAAATGTAGCTAATCTCTATATTAAGTTATAAATATATTTTCAAGCTACAAGATAAAAAAATATTGATAAGATAATTTAATAAGACTTTGGATGTTTTTAATCTTGTCTCTAAATATACTAGTTACATTTCATCCAAACTATTTTTTTAATTAAATTATAATATTCTTAAAATGATTTTAAATGGTACAATAGTTAATATTTGAAATCATAATTAGTGTGGCTTACTACCTAGTTTTATAATAGTTACTTTTGAATGTTTATAAACATTCAAAATTCAAGAGCATGAGAAAAAACTTATAACATGCTTAGAACTATACATTTCTTTCTAGTAATTTAAATATAAATATACTAATTGGATATATACTTAAAAATTAAAAATATTGTCAAATTTAAGGTAAACATAATACATGCAAGGATTGAAAACATGACAATATTTATTACATCAATTTGATTACAATTTTGTATTTATTTATATCTATATGTATAGATTAAGATCAAAAGACTATCTTGTTTGTTTGTTTAAAAATTCATTTGATTACAATTTTACCTATTCATTGTTATTTTAAACCCCTTTCATATGTTACTTTAATTATGTATGTGTGTTTATCGAACAATTTCCAAGCAATTTCGCTCACTTTATAAAACATTCTCGCTTGTCCAAGAAGCTTAAAACACCCACCCGACGTTGCTGACGTGGACGCGGGGGGGCGTCGATTTCGCGCCAAAAAACTTATTTGCGGCGGGGAGGGGGGGGGGGGGGAGCATCACGGAGCGACATACGAGGCCGAGAATTTTGTCGGCAGTAGAATCGATCGAAGGAAGGGTGAGCTTGAATCGTGGATTATGCGAGACAAGTTCCAAGCACCACCACTGCCACCGTTGCAATCCCGTTACAGCGTGGTTGCGATTGAATTCGCGAAGAGGAGGGCCTCTCTGTGTGCATTCAAACCCCCCGCGATTCCATTCCTTCCGGTGCTCTTCTTCATCTTGCATCTTTTAGTCGTCGTTGCCGTCGCAGTTTTGCATGCGCGGCCTTCATAGCTCTTTGGGTGCGATCATAGAGCGGTTGCGACGGAAGGAATGAGTTGGAGTGTGGGGCTTACTGCCGGGGAAGGTCATGTCGGGAGTTGGGTTTAGGGTATAGGGTTTTGGGTCCTCGGCATTGGGCTGCGAAAGCATTCGGTCTTTGAGGGATTGGGTGGAATTCCTGACTCGGGAGTGTGTGATTGGGAGGATCGGTCTGTGAGAATGGCGGATGATATGATAGTGGACTCCGTGCCTCGTAGTCTGTCAGCTTCTCAGAAGGGTAAGGGGAAGGTCGATTTGAATAATGGAAGGCAAGTGAAAGGAGGGCCTTGGGTGGAGAAGTATAGACCCACTTCTCTCGCTGATGTCGCTGCGCACAAGGACATTATCGACACCAGTATGCTCTCTTGCCCTGCCTGCTTGAGTATATAATTCTATGTAGAATGGTTTAAAAAGTAACAATATGTTTTTAATAATAATTTATTTATTTATTTATTTATTTCTTTATGCTCTATTTGTTTTTCCGATCACGTATTGAGTGTGTTCGAAGGCATTTGAACGATGCCGAATTTGTATGTTTCAGTGAGGGGTTTTCGTCGAGAATGGAGTAATAAGTTGTGTACTCCTGGTAGATATGTCATTTTGAAGAGAATGATAGAATTTGTAATAGTTTGTTTTGTAAATATTGGGGGAACACATGTTTTGAGCATCTCCACAAGGAACTCATTAGGTCTCTGGTATGGTGGGACTCCTCATAATTCTGATACTGGTGTTGTTGGTTGTTCGAAGTTGACAGGTTGACAGGGGAGAATCGGCTACCTCATCTGCTTCTGTATGGGCCACCAGGCACAGGAAAAACTTCTACCATTTTGGCAGTTGCGCGGAAACTTTACGGTGCACAGTACCAGAATATGATTTTGGAGCTAAATGCTTCAGATGACCGTGGAATCGAGGTCGTGCGCCAGCAGATCCAAGATTTTGCAAGTACTAAGAGTATATCTTTTGGGTATCACAACTACATACACTTCCTTACGTCAGTCCAATCTTGGGTTCGTATGGAGTTGTTGCAGTTGAAATAACATTGATAGTAGTAGATTTCGCAATTCTATCACATAGAAATATGTATTCATCTTCCTCAAAACAAGTCTGAGCTGAAGCTAGTCCACACCGCCTCTTGCCGGGTTTAAGTCGTGCATATTTCATGAGTCCTATCATATGAAGGACTGAGATGGTAAAAAACTTGTCATGTAATTGGGCAGACCAAAGGTGAATGTGAAACTTGTTATTTTGGACGAGGCAGATGCAATGACGAAAGACGCCCAATTTGCATTGCGTAGAGGTAATTGGTCTTTTGTCTTTCCTTTTACAATCCTGCATTTGCTTGCTACACCCGTTAATGAAATCTTGACACGGATACTTAAAGTATCTCAACACTCGCCACTAATTGGCATTAATACATACTTATACCTGCCGTATGCTGTGTATAATTAGTTGAGTATACCTCGAACTTTTGAATTTTTTCGGATTACTAGTGTTGCATGTCTAAGAGAGCGACGGTTCGAAGGAGAAGATGTTTTCATTTATATTTCTTGAAAAGAAATCTATATTGATAGATGTGATAAATACATTCTGAAGATGAGGTACGTTTTTAAAATTTCTCTCTAAAACTTCCCCCCCGCAATGGCAGTTATTGAGAAGTATACAAAGAGTACGAGGTTTTGTCTTATTTGCAACTATGCTAGTAAGATCATTCCAGCACTGCAATCTAGGTGCACAAGGTTCAGGTTCGCTCCATTGGATCCTGCCAATGTCACAGAGCGGCTTCGCTATGTTATTCAACAAGAAGGGTACGTTCATACCCGCACATTTAGCCTGAAAGCTATCTCTAAATTTGTGGATTTTGTGATGGGTTTTAATGCTTGATGGGAATGTGTGTGGGAAATGTGGTTGATTCTTCCACTTGGTAATTTAGGACACTCATGACTTACATACCTTTGTGGGATTTAAAATGCTCGTTTGTGCATCTGCCGTATTATAAACGACAGTTTACTGTTAGTTGTAAGCTTTTAGTTAATGAAAGTGGTTTGTGGATGCAGTTTGGATGTGACAGATGGTGGGTTGGCTGCTATAGTGAGACTTGCCAATGGAGATTTGCGTAAGGCCCTAAATATCCTTCAGGTTGCTCTCTTTCTCATGTTCTGGTTGGTCAGCCTAACTTTGAAAACAAGGTGGCTCTTGGGTAGACCTTTTTAGTTAAGCTTAGGATGAGACCTTTTACTTCTTGCAATTGTTTCTCATTTTTGCCACGGATGATCTTTTGTTGTTTCTCCAATGTAGTTGACTTATGTTCTTTTACCTTGAAGAACGTCGATGCCTCTTCTTATTATCATAGCTGTCGGTAAATGTGGACACCTTTAACTTTTTCTCCAACTGCAATAATCTGGCACTAATTTGCACTACTTGTTTCAGTCGGCACAAATGGCAAGCCCTCACTTAACTGAAGAGGCCGTCTATTTGTGCACTGGTAATCCAATGCCAAAAGATATTGAGCAGATCGCGTATTGGCTGTTGAATGAACCTTTCTCTACTTCCTTCCAAAGTATCCTCAATAATCTCATCAAATTGTTTCATGGTGGTACTCATGCTTGTTGAATCGATCACTTCTACTGTAATGGATGTTCCTGCTCCTGTGCTTCGTGTACCTTAACCGTGTTTCATAGATATAACAAAAATGAAGACAAGCAAAGGTTTGGCATTGGTCGATGTCGCTAGAGAGCTGCAACCGTAAGTGTACCCGCCCCCACTGATTTTTTATTACGATAGTTCGAGAATTCTGCCTTTACAAGGCTACCGAGTTTAGTACAGTTTTGATACTCACAGAATGTCAAAAAGCCTGTACAATTTATAGCAGAATGGAATTTCTTGTAGTGTGGTTTAATTGCATCTGCGTCTCTTAAATTTTGCTCCCTTTGACAGTAGTAGAGATTCATTTTATAACATTAGTCTTCGAACTAATCTGATATGACGTTTCTATTCATCTAATGTGGTTCTGTATTTTGTGTTTGCTTTGATTCATTATCTGCTGTGTCATCACTGACAAACTGATGCTTATTTTCTCTGGCAGATTTGTATTTACTATTAATATGCCCCCAACAGTTAGGGTTCAGCTGATTGACGCTCTTGCAGATGTCGAGTATGGTTCATTTCATCCCATTTTTTTGTCTGGTTTACTGCGATAGCTTTCTTTGCTGTACTGTCCGGGTCTGCATGGTTATAATTCTAGGTGACCATTGATTTTAATTAAATATGAACCTAAGTTTAGACCATGACCTCGAATAATGTTTAACATGAATATATTTGAATAATATATAATCAAATGTAAGATAAACTATATACTTATTCAATCCCATGTCGTGGCACTCCTGTTTACAGATACAGATTAGCTTTTGGTACAAACGAGAAGCTGCAATTGGGAGCCTTACTTGGTGCATTTACTCGCGCCCGGACAGCTTTGGTGGCTGCAGCTCGGTGACCATACAGCTTATGTCTAGAACCTGCGTACATTGCCAGTCACCATCAATATTGAGTTACCTCTTGGAAAAATATTTGAACATTCGAAGTTGCTCATGTTGGTCTTGTGTCTCAGGCGTTGTGGCTTTATTGAAACGGTTTGCTGTGTGCTTAAACTCGGCCATACAACAAAATGAACTCGCCAATTCGCATATGAAAATCAATTGGTAGACATTCCACTGACAATCTTGAGCTTAAGTTCACTGTTGCACTTAGGAAAAGCATGGGAGGTGTGTATCATGTGCCAATGAACAATGTAGCTGGCTTACGGAGCTTTACAACTTAAATTTCAGCTTTGAAGGAAAGTGAAAAGTATTCCTCACACTCACTGATGTATATATGCACTTCGCACTATAGTCGAGATATTGGTAATGAGGTGTCACACGTGCATTGAAGTGTGATCAACACAGTGGGTGCATATTTTTAATCCTTCAATGGATATACTGACAGTTAGTTATAGGGGTTTTTTACAGTCCTTAACATTTCAAAACGATGCACTGTTTATTTTGTAGATCTTTTAGTACGAAAGGATTTATATGATAGTGTGATGAGAAATCTACAAATGTTGTCAAGGCTGTGTATGTTTCAAACATGCAAATTGGGACTTGAAAGGGTGACGTGATCTCCTCATCGCGTGACTAGTCACTGGGTCCCAGTTGAATCCACGTCACTACACGCCGCATGTAATTTAGTTAGGAATCTGCTCATTGAATTGTCTTTCGTGAAGAGTTCAAGGCTCAGAATAATCTTAAGTTTAAGAAGTTTGTCGAAGTGGATTGTAATCGGCAGTCAGTCTATTAGCACTGATCTTGTGATGTGTAGTGCAAATGCGTTCTTACCTTCCAAAGTATAGAATAACGGTAAAAATAACCAAGGTCTAGAACGTATATATTGCGAATAATTTTACTACTAATAGATAATATTGCGATTGGAATTTCGAAACGATTTCTTAAACAAGAACCCATATGTGATAAAATTTTCTTAATCGTAGTAGAATTTGCAACTGCAAGTTACATCTTTGATTAACAAATAGCATTCCAGCCTTTGGGTACTAAGGTGAGTGTAAACCACCGCAGAAGATTAGTCTGAGAATTTTTGAAGTAGTCTCGTGCGTGCAGGGACGTGAAGTTGAGACATGCGGAGTGCACTGCAAGGTATCAGGTTTAGTTATGAAAATCAAGTACGATAGCTATGAATACCGTGTGGGGAGTGATCTGGTGGCAAGGGCTTCGAAGAATAGTATCAATGATAACTTTGGGGGCGCGTGGAAGGGGATTTGCTATAATGTATCCTCAATCCTTACTAGTCATCAAGGGAATAAATGACGTTGGTGCTAGCACCGTATATTACAAGGAAACTTAAGTCCCCAAAACTGATCCGTGTACATAAGCTGCTAAAATCATGTGCAATTGTCTAAGATAAAGGAATATTAGGTACTGCAGTTGTTGCAGAAATTAGAAAATTCTCTAGCCTACGCTGTAATTCGGCCACTGCTAGTAGCAGAAAACGCTCGGAATCCTCCAGAACGTATTTCAACCAAGTATAGTACACAAACACATAGAGGCAACATTCCTCTTAAATGTGCATGAAGGCAGTTAGAGCAACTGGTAGTCATGAAGCTGTTCGCACCAAAGGAGTTACAAGCCAGGTAACAACCTCTTCTAGTAACTCAAACCCATGGTATTTAGCAATATTCAGAAACACTTGTAATTCTTTTTCAAACACAGCTGGGCTTGTTGTGTTTTTGAACGCTCCAGCACATTGACACTGATCGGCAAGATGAGATGACTTTACCTGCCAATTCAAACAGCATATCCTTTTCTACGTCAGATTACGTGAAACTTGACCAAGTGATTTAAAGTATGACCAGGCAATTTGCTCCATTTTGAAAGCACAAAAGACCTGTGTCATTGCACAATTATGTGCATTTGAAAAAGATATAACCGTTTCGTGAATAGGCATTACCTGACGACATTTTACGCAGACGAGATCCTGGAGATGATACAGACGTTCTCGTTGACGCACTATTTGGAGCAGTGCGTTCTCAATCCAAGCGCGATCATACGGTTGGCCACAAGAGGGCACCACACAGCGCCAATCATGCTCCAACAGAGCAGCATCACGGCAAAGATCTAGATCCCTACAGTCATTACAATAACTGTTCCCAACCCACATGTAAAGATCACGACTCTAAAAGAGGTTTCCAGCATAATCCATGTAAGTTTTCGCACTACTGATCCACATTCCAACCTCTAGCAAGAGCAATATTACATAGCTTGTCATAAAATCCTTAACAGAGTTTACTTAGACTTTAAATGGATGAATTTCATGTGCACACGTCAAAGACATTCGATACCTGCATATGACATTTGGTAGAGTGAATGAGCGGCATGGATCTTCAAATGCAGCTTCTGCAGAGAATTCTCTGACGTGCACCAACTTCAACAAGTTTTTCCTCATTACCTGCAATGGCAACAAATTTTGGACCATCATTCACCTTTCAAACTTTAATGAGGAAAAAATTTCAAAAGCGAAGGAAGTGAAGTTCAAAAGTAGACATAAACGTGTGGCCAGGTACAGCAGGAAACAGATAGATAGTAAAAAAGTTCCTGAACGCCCTCACCATTACATTGTGTTGAACACGATTATCAAGAGCCAGTACAGCACACACTTGCTTGATGAATTCCAAGGCTGGATCAGTCATGACCAGATGTGAACCAGCCAACTTTGGAAATTGTCGCGAAAGTTGAGCTTCAGAATCTTCCTCGTCTCTCCTTGCATTTATGTGCCTTTGCACATCTCGTACTACCCTCAATAATTTGTCCGTAAAGTAGGACGCAATCTGCACATGTGACCACGCGATGCAGCTAATAAGTACCTTATGTGCACCAATGTTTACAAAACAGACATATGAGGATAAATAAGAAACTAGAAAGAACAAATATTTTTTTATTGAAATTGTGTAGGATCAATAACAAGATAGCAATACACCACGATGCAACTTTACTGACCTGTTCTTTGAGATATGAAACTTCTTGTGCTTCCGCATCAGAGGCTGTAGAAATTGAGACAGACGGAGTGCTTGATGCAAAATCTCCACCCCTAGCTGCTGCAAGCAAAGCCGCCTGATCTTGAGAGTGCTTCCATGGGATATAGATGTATTCTGAAACTATCACCACAAAGTAGTCCTGCAAGAATTCCAGACTCTGCTTTTAGCACTCGAGCTCAGCCACTCAACCTTGGTGCTTTTAGCTGCAGTACTGTGATCATGAGCATTATCTCAACTGCTTACTTTAGCACCACATTTCTTCAACTTGAAAAACATGGGAGTGTTTTGCTGGAAGGACAATCAAGTACAGAAGGTTACGATAAATTCGAACAATACCTGAGTCACTTTCGGAAGAAACTCTGCAATATTCCAGCTTGAAATGATCTCATTTGCCCCGTTCTGTGTAGGATCCTGAGATAGATCGCTGGCATCAAGGTCTGTCCGAACATCTTTCGCTTGAATGCCTCCGTAGTTATACTGCAACGATATAACATCAAAGTCGTCAATCCTTTCAAATTCTTGCAGCAAATTAGTTGTTCATCAATGAACCAGTTGCATGTTTTCACGAATGAAACAGTTTGCACGATCTCAAGAATGAATCACTTTGCACGATTAGCAAACCCCTGCTTATTGGATTTAATGGAAACGTCTCTCCCAGCATCAAGCAAGCAGACGAGGTTTGATAAACCCAACAATTGAGATTGTTTGTCAGCAAAACTCGAGAATTATTTTGAATGTTCGAGGTTCAGTCTCACAAAGAATTCAGGAAAAAGAATGAAACCTGATCCATGAAAAGCAGAGCATGCCAGTACCGTTTTGGCTCCAACTCTAACCACTCAAACAACTCCCTGCGAAAGAGGACCAGTAAGCAGTAGAAATCTACTAGTTGAGGAATCTTCAACATGCTCAAGAGGTGGAAATGCCGGACTCATTAACATGGTCAACTACTGACAAAAAAATTTATAAACGAACCAACTACCATTAATTAAACAAAAAAAGTCTAGGAAAATATAGGGACTTGAGGTAAGCAAAAGAGCATGAAATGGATCTCTGAACTTCACTGTGTTAACAGTGAAAGGATTTAGATGAAAGATGTACCTAGATTTTAAAGTTTTCAACAGGTACTCGCAGTACCCTTGAGCAGCTGCCATATTATATTTTCCAGTAGCTATAATTATGCGCGAAAAATCTGCAAAGACTATGGTGGCCCTCAATTTCCGCAGCTCCGCAAGCAACAGTGCAAAAACCTTCTGCATAATCTGTTTATTGAAAATGTCCGACTGATCAGAAGTGTACGAAATCCTTTCTAGAAGAATAGTAACTGAAGAGTTTTTGAAGGCATTCCAAAATAACGCTTACAATCAGGATATGAAAGCATAAAAGATCATCGAAAGATCCACTTGTCATTACTACAGTTTTGCGCATAATTTAATGAAAACTCCAAAGCACAAAGTGAAGGATAAAGATAGAGGAACAATAATCAAGTACCTTGTGAAGAATACGGTGAAGAGCAGGATCGTGCATCTTTGATGTTGGACTAATATTCAACCATCAGACATAAACATGAATGTCAGTGCTATTGGCTATATACAGAAAACGAATTTACTCGGGGTATTTAGAAATCATAAGACATCTACACATCAATTCATATTATCATAAAATGTCGTTTTCTCAAAGCGATTAAACAAAAGCATACCTGCAGAGCCAACGGTAAAGATGTTGCAAGAGAACATCTGCAAATGTGTTGCCTGATGACACAGCGTCACTAAGCCAGCCTTGTACAAGTTGTTTTAGAATCCGAAAGGCTGGTGCACAAGACACACTTTCATCCCAATTTGTTTGTCCAACCCCAAGAGAAACTGCATCCTGAGATTCTGAATTGAAGCCTAAGAGAGCACCGCCTTCTAGCTCATTGATCTGGCTGCTTTTCAGTAAAGCATTCACAGCAAGGTGATGAACCTGGTAGTAAGAACCAATTTGAGTCTTAGAAAATTCAACATGCATACAGATAGTATTCATCACACTAATTGCTTTAGATGGAAATTTGGAACAATAATTTTCTCGAATAGCACATATTGACGACCGCTCAAGTAAACATCTAACGAAGCAGGTTACTTGGATGAGCAGGAAGCCAAACCTTAAGCTCGATACTAATACTTCGGTAAGCGCCTGGAAAGATCAAAGCCGGCTGTTGAACCTGACAAAATTACAAGCACATCTTACACAATTATTTTCAGCACAAATATAAAAAAAGAAAAAAAAAAAAAAAAAAAGGAGTAGAAAAGCAGAGTTCTTCAATTTATCATTGTGCGTATAAGGAGAGATAGGATATTGCATCTCTTTTTACTAAGATCGACAACACTAATTAATCAAAAAACATTTTAAAAATGATTGCTAGAAATGGTATCTTCTCTCTGCTTGCCTATTACATTTGAAACTAGAAAGAGATAGTGGGGATACGACGTGATTCCAAATGATTACATAAAAAGTTAAGCATCTCCAAGCAGTAATACAAAGGTTTACCTCATCGGCAAAGCTTGGCTCCTCCTCAGGAACTCCTCCCAAATCTGGTATTCCATCGTTTGAGACCCAAAGCACCTGCATTCAAGAGTTGGAACATCAACGGAGTCAAAAGGAGCTCACAGTATTTCACGACACATTAGTAGCTTGAACTATGTCTTCAGATGGTTCGTGCACATCACACCCATTCAAAACTCACATTGTACAAAATTTCAAAAATTCTTAACTTAAGATTATCGAGGAAAACATATCCACACACCAAAGATACAAGGGTAAAATTCAAGTCACCTGCATATGATCACGTAAAGCACGTGCATAAAAAGTGTCGGCAGTGAAAAGAAGCCAGTCCGAATCGAAATTCCCAAGCGGAACCTGGACAGAAAGCAAAAAACTTAAGTTATTCGAACGTGTACTCCTAATGTCTTAACAGTCCTCACTCAATCGTTGCAGGTCAGAAGAGTGCCAATAACGTATAGTGCAATGTAAAGCCCTGGAGCAAAGGCAATCTAAACATCATCGAGCAATGAGTTACTGAGGATCCGTTAAAGGTGAAAGTACCCACATGTGCATATCGTGCTAGAGTAATCCTCTCCTGAAGCCATATACTAGATGCTGCACACCGTTGCATGGCCACTCTACCAGCTAGAGGTTGCCACCCAAGGGTCTGCATGACATTTCCACGACAAAGTCTTTCATGAGTAAACAAGAATTCAAAAAAACACATTTCAGATTGAAACGACAACGTCTACACAAAACAAGAGAGGTCAAGCAGGAAATGTTCGATGTGTTTAAAGAGACACAGCTAAAGGCGGTCATGTTCAGATAGCAAAGCTCATTACACCTATTAACGGAAAGGTATACAAGCTAATCTAAGCGATCAAAATGTAACTACATGATAAAAAAGAAGTGTGACTTGAAGATGTCAACCAGGCTCACAAACCTGATAATTACTATCACGAGCATTGCATGAAACTTGTATACATGGTAGTTCAGAGAGGGCTGAAATTGTATTCTTAGTTGTATCCAAATTGGGACACTCAACAACAGCTAGAGTAGGACCTCGATGTTGATCCCTGAACATGAATATCAAATAGGCAACTTGTAAGCAGAATGAGATCAAACGTAAAAGGGATGAAAGCCTGAACTCATATTCAAATGCAATTCAAAATTCAACGGCAAAAGAAATGGTCCGTAGCGTTTCACCTGTACTCAATAAGTGTTTTTTGTAAGAGTCGTCCTGCATCCGCATTACTTGATACATATTCAACCTGCAAACAAATGAAAGGACGTGCTGTGTCAGAGGTTACAATTACATTCAAATTATCAATGTAGTGCACTTGGTCGAAGTTTGAATTTGCTCTACGCATCATTCTAACATGGAAATGTTGATACTGATCACACTGAATTCCAAAACAAAAATTATTCCCTGAAGCTTAGTTGGTTGATTTCTAACCTTGCATGTTAATTCAGAAGTGTCGACATTAGATTGGCTCTGGTTACGGACTGCATCACGAAATTGACGCTCCAGCTGAGCGATGGCAATTTCACGATTATTGAAGGGATTAACGACCACAACCAATATCCTGGAAATCACAGGCGTATACAAAGCATACAGCCCCCTGTTTTCCATCCAGCTGTATTCAAACAACTTCCAAATGTCAGAAATTCCAGATGGGAAGATGAACGCATAAGATGAAAATCTGAATACGTAAAATGAAGTTTGTTTGCCAGATTGCGCACTTTGAAGTAGAAGTATACACATTCTCCTCACTTATCGCCACGAGGAAATACCAAAATATCTGAAGACAAACGGTATAGAATCTAAACACAGCATCCTAACTTTGAAGGCATTGAAGATCTTCACACTTGGCACTCAGGAATTTGGCGTGTTAACTTCCTAATCACTTTCTGGTTCAATCAATCAACAGCCCACCTGTGATACAAAAAGATATATGGTAGATCGTCCATCAAATATGAGCACTCTGTAGTAGTTTTCATGTGAAGATCGTTCAAAGACCATCCATCCCTTATCGTACGGTTTCGCGCCTTTGAATCAACTTTACACACACATCCAAGCTGCAGCAAAGCATGCAGAGATAGTGGCATCTTTGTCTCGTATACTCCCTGCTCACATGCTTGCAAATCAAAGTATGAGATCCTCCATTTTAGAAAATTGAACGAAACGCAACACCAGCAGATGGTTAAGAGTGATCTTTAAAAGAAGTGATAAGATGTGATGTACGTACCTCCACTTCAGGATCTGCAAGATGCGCTGCAAGTTTCCTTCCTGCTAATTTAAACTGCTCCTCGTCTACTACTACCTGCACATCAATTTGACTGAGGGTTACTATTAAGAGTACAAAAGACTTAAGGGCACCTAAATACAACTACCACGTGGAATATAAATATACATATTTAAATAGGAAAGACCATCAGTTTCACAAATGTGAACTTTCGTCATCATGTATCTCAATGGCAAATCCTGGCACACCAAGCTAGTCAACGTAGGCATCACTAGTAATCAAGATGGTGGTAATAATTCTTCAGCTTCCATGCATTAAATCTACTCACCTCAATAAGATTAAAAACTGGTCGTCCATGTGGCAAAGTACGAGTTACACGTACTCCAGGGTATTCTTCGGTATTGGTGGCTTGTGTATTTAGATAAAACACACGTGGAACTTTCAGAGGGACCTTATACATATCACCATCTGCGAGTACCCAAGCCGTGAACTCCCCTGACCTTTGACCGAGAGCCAAGTGCAATATCTGCAAAAATCCAAGAACCACGTCACCTCATGCAAATCAATGATGAGGAATTTAAGGTACACAGGGCGTTGAGAGCTGCACGCATCAGGATGCTCGAAAGAAAGAGAAAAAGTAAATAGAAAGTTTGCCAATAATTAGACAAGCACCTGCCAATGAGAGTGTGTCAAGGCAGCTTCTCTATTGCGAAAAAAAGCTCCCACACCCGGCTTTGATCGAGCTGCTTTACCACCTTTACTTATGAGGGAATTGCGTAATGCTCCGCCAGTAGCATTCTCCGGTCTACATTTATGTTTGAATTGCATTATAATTTAGCCCCTAAACTTGTGAAAAGATTTGACACCAAAAAACTGTAAAACATAACATGAATGAGGTCGAAGTGCAAGATAGTAATCTGTGTACTTAATTAATTTTATCTGCGACCAAACTGAACTTGAAATTAAAATACACATACCAGTTAACAACACGGATAATAAAATAGGATATACAGAGCTACTGAAGTCTCAAACCTAGATCGTTTTCGTTTGTCTCGGGCCTCCTTCCATTTCCTTTTTTTGTGCTCCAACCAAGCTTCATAGTCATCGTTCTTATCAGGAGTGGTCTCTCGCACTTGCCTAGCAGGTGGCATTTCGATTCCATCTTCTATTACTGATTTGTTTGTCATTTGTACATTACTAATTTGTTTATCTTTATCATATACACGAATAATTGGTCGAGGCATTTTACGACCAGTTAATTTGGTACCGACCATGTCTTCTAGATCAGCTTCAGAGCCATCCTCGGAAATGGGTTCCTCAGCTTGAGCAACCTTCGGCCCAAACATATCTTTCAGGTTTCTTTGCCTGTACTTATCATCTTTTTCTCGAATCCTCTTCCAAAGCCAGTCAGGATGAACTACACGTGGAACTGGATTTGCAACCTGGATCAATAACCAAGAAGTTTAGAAGTATGATTCACATGAAATATGCTCTCTAACAAGTAGTTAGTAGATAACCTCCACATTGTGCTTCTTGAGATTCATATACAGAATCGAATAATTTTATGTTGCAAACAAGTCTAACGCACTTCAAAATTCAATTCCTATACCTTTTGAAGGGCCGCAGGAATAGTGATGATCTTTTGAATGGCAGAATTGAGACGTTGGCGATAATAACCCCAATCTACAATACTACGAATGGCAACATCCGCCGAACACTTGCACCATTTTCGAACATATACCCTCATCACCTCTGATCCCCAACAGCATTTGAATCGACGTGATCAGTACAATCTATAAGTGGTCAATAATTTGCAAGAATTCATAATTTATCAAAATATCAGTTGTAAAGTCCTAATCGACAACATGAATCCATCATATGATCATTGATCTGAAGTGTACCACCACCCAAGCTTGTCGTGCTCAGAACCTACCAGGCTCAGCATCAAAAATGGCGACAGGAATTGCTCGCTCACTCACAGGCGCACCCTGCGATATGGAAAATATGGATAAGAAAGTTCAGCATAGCATCTCCTACAATAGCATCTCCTGCAACTTACACGTTACTACATGCGTATGCAAACAATAATTCTATTAGGGAGGAACACACCTGTGGATCACGGGCAACAATGTAACGACAGCTAAGTCCCTTGTCTTTGACCATCTCATCACCCAAAAAATCAGCTAATCGCCGGGCTGTAGTAGTGGCACACGATTTTCGATCACCATAATCTTCTAAAGATTTGCTCATTGTACTTGATTCAGAAATATACTCCAATAACTCACTATCTGCAACATCGATACCTTGATTCTGTGCATATACATCAAAAAAAAGTTCCGTTAAGATTTCCGACAGCTTGCACACGGAACGTATTACTCTTGATGTACAAATAAACCTCTTCACTTCACCCAGGAAATACCGCATTCTGATCGCAACAGATGTCAATTGCTTAAAGATCTTACTAGCCTCAGAATAAACTCACATAAGAGAACAAGTACCTCAAGCATATCCAACCACCGATTTGCAACGGCAGCCACAGAGGCATAGCACTCCTCCAAAGTCGCACCGTGTAAAAAATTATCAAAAATTTCTGCCTGTCACATGCCAAGCAGCACTCTAGTCAGGAGATACTACATGCTGTCTAAACATTGGCTAACAATTAGCACTTTCCATTGTCAGAAAACAGGATCGGAAGGAATTTCGTATAACAAGACCACTTTTACACTTTATCCAGAACCATAAACAGTTCGTCTTCCTCTTTCTTCTCTCTTATACAAAAACATGCAAGAAGAGTGGGACAAATTCGATGAGACCAGGAAGATGTCTAGCACGAATGCTAATTCCGAGGATTAATGGAGGATATTAAAGCCATACCTGGAACACCTTGATAAGTTTAAGCTCTCCGCGCCGCTTTATTTCAAATCCCTTCAACTCTGCCAATGTACCATCGTGATTGAAAACGGCATAACGCTTCTTGAGAAGGACGTTTTCTTCCTTAGACGCAGGTATGATCATAGCCTGTGTTCCGGGTATAAAAGAAAATGAGGAATACACTCACGTCGTGGATTTAAGCAATTTCCAAGGTTAAAGCTAATCAGCAAAATAAAATACCTTATAAGGTCCATCAACTTCAAACTCGATGGAGCATTCACTAGTTGTTGCATAAGTTCGCGATACAGGATCCACCAACGTCTGTATATGCCATGTTTACCTTATTTGTCATGCATCCATTGACTAGCTAAGGTTCACCTTCAAAAAACTAACACTTAAAATAAAAGTACTCAACTAGCCCACGGTAGGTTTCTGAAGGTACTGAACTCGTTACAGAACAGAGCCAAAATCTACTAGCAGCAGATGGCAGAATTTGAGAAAACTAAAATAAACTTACCTGATACTGGTCGTTGGTATTGTTGAGAGCAACATCAACATTGAGCATCACACAAGGGTATGAAATTGTGAGCTTCTTTCCGTTTCTGCCAGAATAGTAGGCAAGATCCACACTAGGTCAGTCAGAATTAATAAGACAATCGATAAAATTAACCCTCCAATTTCTTGCATCAGAGCAGATTTTTCCGTCTACACATTGTGACAAGAGTATTCAGCTACGTCATCAATGATCGCAACTGTTATATTGGCATATGATGCATACTAATTCATCAAGTATGATTATTAGATACTTAAACTCTACATTCCAAGAGGGTTGCAAATGTCAATCAGGTTATCATAAAATTCTCTAGATATAAATTCTCAGATAGGTAAAAACAGAAGATATTTAAATTCCACCTAACAGGAAAATAAGATAGAAAGCAGATTACGCACTTGGTCTTGAAGGTAAAGTTCTCAGGGAAAGATCCAGGCAGGCAACACCAAATTCCATCTGTGTCAAGTTCTAGTGGTTTCCCGATTTGCTCAACTAAGACACGGGCATTCTGAATAATTTTTGCCCCGGTATATGTAACGACACCTGCCATCTCCATGGAGTACCAGCGAGCTCCCCTGCCATGCACATGGTACACACCATGAATAAGACGTAACAGAGACGCATATTTACAGAACGATGGAGGAACGCGTTTTAGAATTGTCAGGGGAGTAACACCTGCAAAACACCAAACGTTCTCATGTGTGTTTGAACAACTATCAAGAAAGCCTTCATTAAGAATGAGATCCCGATAAACAAGTAGTGAACTTGAAGAGAAAACGCGACAGGGTTCTTTTTGGATGGGGTGCACTGGATAATTTCACACGCCCATGCACTCCCATTCTACTCATTTAACAAAGAGGGACTTCTGATTTTTTGACGACATCAACGCAAGGTCACCTGAAAGAACCTTACTTGCGCATGACATATCCGTAGAAAGAATTGAGGATGCACTTGTGTGCTAATTGAAGCGAATCATATAAAATGACCAAATCCTGCAGCCAAGGACAAAAATACAATATTAGACTTTGTAAGACTTGTCCACTCACTGGCACAATAAATTCTTGAACATAGATATGGCTTTTAAAACAAAGCATTCGTTTTCAGAACAGCAGAATAGGTAAGAACACAACATTCGTCTTCATAGAATTCATATCATATCAACAATTTAATACGACACTTAGACAATATTAAAAACTTTATAATTACCGAAGCTTCTTGAATTTTGATCGGGTTGCCACTAGCTTTCGCATCTCCGAGCTTCCCTTTCCAAACCTTGTTTAGACCCTTGTATTCATAACGCCTATCCCGAAAGCTGGACCATCGTAACACGCAAGTTCGAGATTTAAACCCGTTAGTGTAAACAGAAATTGCTGGAATTCATGTGTAATGAAACAATGGCTTGATGATGACGCATAAAGGATTGAGAGTTATGTTGCACCTTTTGACAGTATCCACATAGAACGGATTTTCTCGCATGCAGACGCTGGCCGATCGGACATCTGTGATCGGTTTTTCCAGCACTCGCTTGTACACCTGAGACAGGCACCACGACAAAGCAGTGTCAATTGCTAAAAGGTTCTGCAGAGCTACCCAAAACTGAAAAAAATCACGAGAAGAATCGCTTACATCTTGAAAACCCAAAAGATGATTACTCATACAATTGTTTAAAAAGCACAGGTTGAGCTACAAACAAGAATTAACGACCGTAAATCAATTAGATGAAGTATATAAGAGGAAGAATTTCTAGCTTTCAGTAATCATCAGCACAACGACAAGTCCTAATCCGTTAAGAGTTTGAAGTATGGGAAATAAAGGATGCATGAGTCACAAAAATAATGGGTCGCACAAAGTAAATTGTAATAGCCACCCTAATAACCATTATGGACTATGTACATCAATCTAAACTATATTGCTAAGAAGATACCAATTTTAAAATCTTCCATACCTTCTGACAATATTTCTTCAACCGATCCTTCAATTTGCTCTGCTGTTCATCCTTGGGGAGGTCACGGAAGTATCTTAATGGCCCCCCATCCGCAATTGAAGGGAATTGTTCCGACTCAATTTGATTCTTAAGATGCATGAATTCACTGAAAACATATTTGCAATTATTTTGAAATGAGATGAAAACAGCATTTACATATTTTCCGAGGCATGATTTCCAAGCCTAGCGCGATCTTCATGCATAAGATGTTATTATATTTCCTATGAAAAAGAAAATTATAGTTTTCACACTGTGATCAAGCAGCAGTACAACCCCTGACTAGATACTTGAACACATAAACATTGACACGAGTGTTTACTCAAAGAGATAGAGAAGCTAAAACCAGAGTAAAGAGCAGACCTCCGTTTAGCAGCGTAGGTTTCACCTCTCCAGACCCACTCCAACTCTCGCATGCAAGTCTTGCCTGGACGGTTGAAGTCGCAGGCCGCACAGATCTCGTCTGTTACTATAGATGGCGGCTGCAATCAAAAGTTTCTTTTGAGTACTCAACTGAAAATCAAGCACACACAATCGTGCCAACAAAAGTACGTAACGATAACTCTACCCATTGCTGGACGTAAGATTCAGAAGTCGTAAATATCGATAGTACCTGAAGTCGATTTGTGAGAATGATGTTGGGATACATGGCAGCCACATCCAGATGATAGATGAGGGGACGCTCATCCCTAATTGGAGTGTCACGTAGGTTCACAAGCTAGTAATACAATAAAAAATAATCCACCATGTTAATCAGCGTTACAAATCTCAACTGGATAAACTTATGAATAGAACATTTGTAATGTAGACCAAGCAAGTAAAGCACGCAACCATGTTATTGCAAAACTACACACATAGTTATTGGGTAATTATGTCCAAAACAAACTGAAAATCAAGCGCTTACTTTGAGTTTAATATCCTCCTTAACTTCATCATAGTTAGTCACCGACTCCAACTCGAGCTTTCCTTCTTCTTCGATTGCATACTTCAAATCCCTATCGAGATTGTTAATCAACCCCTGCGGAATCACAGAATATTAGTGTCCCGAAGCGCAAAAGTTACGAAATATTAAAACCCCACATGTAAAAAAAGATAACTTACAACTAAGGTAATAAAGAAAGAGAATTTGGGACCATGAGTTTGCGAAGCTTCAGCACAAGGAGAACACCTGATACGCTTCAGGAGTCAGGTGGAACCGTGTGGGGATATCGGACCGAAAGACTCCACTCTCCAGACACTCCACATGCCCACCAATGTAGGTTTCGCTCTCCAGCATTTTCCCATTGTAAACCTTCTCTTGCTCAGATTTATGTTTGTTGGGGCAGATAATGTTTCCCTTGAAGGCCTGCAGAGACTCAATTTAAGGATAATGTCGCTAGATTTCAAGTCTGAAATGATAGATATGCAGCACATCCCAATAATGTAACTCCATGTTTGTTTTCTCTCTTCAACTTCAACGGGTAAATTATTTTCCTACGCGTCACAGCTTGTTTGAGGCATCAAACTAAGAAAAACTTACTTGAACCATTAGAAGCATTTCACAAAGTGTCCCGGAGCCTTTGCGCAAAACCTCATCTGGAGACATTGGAATGATGGTTGCCAGAGAAAAGATAAAAGGATGCACATATGTCATGTACAAGTAATATGTTGAGACAGCATCTGAGACTGAGTAGGAAGCCATTGTCTGCATAAAATCAAAACCTTAACAGGTCAAGAGAGACGGACTTCAAACATAATGTAACTTGCATCCACATTGCACTTCCAAGGCACTACAAATTGATTCACATCGTCTAAATTTTATCAACCTCAGATGCGTTGAGATCGATTATGACAACCCCTGACTCTGGTCATGTTACGAAGAGATGGTGAAAGAAAACATTCTATGCAGAAAAGAACCGAAAACATATACTTGACACACACTCCGGAAAGTGTCCAGAAACTCTATGTACATCCATTCATTTCAATTCTATCTGTATACAGATATCTAGAAGCTGACCTGTGGTTGCTCAATAGCAAAGCGAACCATGTCTTCAGGATTAACCTCCAACGGATCGAAACCCAATTTAGCCTTCGTTACAGCCTGCAAGTCAACAGGACCCAATGTGATAAACTCCGGGCAAGAGTGAGAATTCCATTCAGGAATATGACGAATCAAGGTGTGAAGCCACTACAACAAAGTGTTATGCGCACATAATTATTTCCCACAGTCGTCGTAAACATGTGATAAGGCAATGCCACGAAAGCATAACTAATATTTAGTGAAGTGTTGATAAATAACAACCTGTTCCTATTTGATTAAACCACATTAACGCCTACTCCAAAAATACATCCATGCTTACTGATTGGCGCTAGACATAAACAAATATCACGAAAAGAAACGTGTACCTTGAGACCTTGACTTCCTTGCGGCAAGTAACTGTCACGCTTCACCCATGCAAAGCAATCCAAATGACAAGCAAACTTACTCAAACACTCCCCTAGAGTTTCATTATGTTGAAACCCTATCTCCTGATAGAAAATTCAAGGCAGTCAGGATTAGAAAGTGGCAGTGTAATAACTAGAACAAGCGCAAATCCTAATACTTTAGAGGTACTTACATCAGTGCATGAAAAAACACATCACACAGCTGATAGAGACTACTAAAAGTACATTGCAAAGACATCAACAGTCGAACAAGTGCCACTAGTTAAGTAAACTATGTTGTCCACTCGAGAAAGCAGAACTGTATCTAGTTTGATTATAAGAGAAAACTTACATCGTGCATCCTCATTCCGTGATGAAGAGCACGTGCTTGAATGAAAGGCCAATCAAAGAAGTCACCATTGTACGTGACATAGATACTTGGCTTCACCTCCCGCATATGAGAAAACCAACTAACAAGCAGCTCTTTCTGCAAAAATCACCAATCTAGATAAGTTGAAATGAGATGCTTTTGAGCTGCAGCAGACGGGCAGCAAAGTGTATTACAACCGAAGCAGCAAGAACATCACAAGAAGTGCAATTCACTGCCTTTGCAAAGGACACGCTAAGAGGGTTATTATCACACAACAATCAGAGACATCTAACCCTAACAACATGGTAGGCCTTCAAGTATTCATCTACAAACAACTTGATATCCTCAACACTCAGCAATGCAAGATGTGAGAAGACATCTAACAACTTTTCATGATGACCATACCCTACCTCCGTCCGTGTGTTGGTGACCTTAAAGTGACCTTCAAACTCTGGCTTCGGAGTATACTCAAGGTCCTCAATCTCAGCACCTACACACTGAATACCACACAATGAACACCAAAAATATTTAGTGCTCACCTGTGCATCGCTGTGACCATAAGAAAAGAAATAACCCAACTAGATGCTTTCAAAAGCTATTTAGGAAGAGTCATATAGAAAATGATACAAGAGCTTAAACAAGTGCACAAACTCATTCTAACTGCCTTGAGATTCTTTTCTTTGAGACATCAATTGAGATTCACTTTAAGAACTGAACATGCTAGTGAATATTGAAAATGAAATTTCTGCATAAGAGATATTTTACCTCTCGATTAACTATAAGATATCCCTGGCCGTCGATCATGTAAGATATCATCATCACACTGTCATACGATGCATCGGGGAACTTCAAAGGTAACTTTGTTGTCTCGATATCAAATGCACAAACTCGCACCTCAGCACGTTGCAATAGATCTGTTCTCCTTTCCAACTTCGTTTGAGAAGATTCAACACTAACCATGTACCAGAGCCCACATCTGATATCTGCTCAAGTCATTGTATCGTGTTAAGTACCCGACATTACGAGAGAACTTTTAGTTGGTCACTAAGGGAAGCTAATAGCTAGTCTCCTACTTCTCGAACCATTTCCTCTGATCCAGTACAATTTCTTGCCAGGAACATAAAATTGTTTTCTATGATGCTTGACTTTCTAAGGAGCAAGCATAAGCATGTCTGAATTTTAACAAAAATTCTATTACAAACATGACGGGCATGAGTTGTCGCCACTCACCATTATCAATTGCAAACCTGACATGGTAAGGGACATCGTACTCTCTCATGTCTACCATATACTCAATGTAATCCTGCATCTTTCCAGGAGCTTTGCTTCTGAAATGCACCGACAACCATGTAAAGTTAGCAGATTTAAATAAAATTTAGAAAATATTTTGCAGAATCTACCAAACTGCTAAAAACATTTGAAAGAATATTTAGCTAAGTTCGCAATGAGTCCAATTGCAATATATATGTATAAAATTACTGGGTTCACAGCTCTCTAAGAGAATTACGTCAACTTACGCTGAATTATTGAAGAGTGATTCATAAGCCTGAGCAGCGTCCAGCTTTGCTTGGTTCCGCTGTACCAAGGGTAGTAACTCACTCTTTACATTCATCAGCTCTTGCACAGTGTTGAAGCTAAGTTTTAAATATTTACTTTGCAGACCTGAAAGGTGATTTTTCTGCAATATATAGCACAGCACTTAAGCTAAAAATTGAGTTGCCAAATAAATCTTCATGGAATGCTCCAAGTGTGTCAACATGAGACCTTTCACAAGAACCAAGATTTGAAACTCCAACGCACAACCGACATTGACAGCATAGGTCAGCTAGAAGAAAAGCTTCATGTACAGAGGAAGAACACCAGGGAATTACAACAAGTACTACACTCTACAACAGACTCTGGCTATGCAAAATGCAATGCAAAGCAATTTACTACGAGACAAAACCTTGGAGGTACTACAAAACTTGAAAGAAATTCATAATTAGAAGGTCACATTGCTCATCCTACAAGCAAGCAAGTGAAATGCGCATACAAAAAGTTCGATTATGAGCAGAGGAGAGGTTAGAGGAAATAGATGACTTCTTAAATAGAAAATATAATAGAACACAAAAAAAACTAATACAGGCAATCAAAAACGTCTGAACTTAATTGACATAGCTACTTTACAAGTCCTTCAAAGAAACACTCACCAAATCAAGGTCTTCTTTGTTAACTATCTCAATATTTGCAATTTGCCCCTCGTACCGCCGTCTTAGGTAAGCGTCAACCTCCAACTCTGTGTTCTCCTGCAAGAGTTATCTATAATGAGTAAACATAGCAGCAGGAACTGAGGTACTTGATAAAACACAAGAAATGAATGATTTATTGACTTCACAAACTTTCTTAAGTTGGGAAACGTAAATATATATGGTTAAAAAAAGAGAATCTGCTAAGTCAACAAACTAATGCCAATCTTCTACACCAACTCCTTGATATCTCTTTGATTGATTGGGTAACTAAATACTAGCAAAAACAAAAGAGAGACTGGTCGGCAACAAATGCTACCTTGGTACCCAAATAGAAGTAAGGAGCAAACTTGAATTGTGCCTTGAAGGTGGATCCATCCTGAGAGCAGATTCATCATCGTCGTCAGTACCACGATACGTTCGCTGGAAGAATTACCAGTGTAGGTGCTTTACCACAATGCTGGTTATGAGTAAACACACCAGAAGCACAATAGCAGTTTAAAATGAAAAGATTTAAGTGCATCGGACACATCAAAAGGGGAAATCTTGTATACGAAGGACAGAACACCTGGCACATAAAGTAGAGGTTGACACAGCTGTATGTAATATTGTCATTATTAGGATCATCCATCGCCGACTGCACCAAATTCAAAAGATGGTAACATGGTAAGATTTCAAACAAGTCACACAATGTTTAGGTAATATCCATGACAAAGCAAAGTCGCAAGGATAAAATTCAAATCTCTTGAAAATTATTTCAGTACAAGAACCGAACAGAAAATTCTGCCTTCGATAAAAAGGGATGGAGCATAAACCATCTGGTTAATAAGCAAGGTAAGATCTGCGTGCAAACCTATCTAGTCTAATCAACCTGAATTCGTCTAAATTCATTTATCTTCTTCAGCCTGCTTTCGAAGATCCATAAGACAGATGACACCCTAAAAATAACTCAAAATAGCCCAGCTTATCAGTTGCAGCTTAAGCTTAAAACTTCGGCAGTGCTACACGGCTGTGACCTCAATACGAAAGTCATATCTATGGCCATGATTTAGAATTAATCCTCCGCAGACGTTCAGACAGAGCACCGAGGAAGGATTTGCAGAAATCCACAAACGAGCTTTTCATCCAATTCCAAAACTCCGAAAACCCTATAATTGGTTGCCCCACGTCAATGCTGACATGGAAATATCGCTTAGATATTGAAAGAATGTCGTTTTCAAGCTCATGGCAGAACGAGCATTCAAGAATCCAAGATCATAGAAAGCACAAAAAAGAGGCAACCGACACAATTCGGATACGAACAAAGGTCACCAGTGAAATCCAAGTCATGAATCTGTCTCAGAAGTGGAGAGACTCCTCCTGGAAAAAGAGCTCCACAGATAAATTCTAACAGTAGACGCTCGAGAAGGAAACTGAAAATTGAGGAATGCAAAAGAAAAATGCAATGTTCGGACATACCGAGACCATGTTGAGAAGCCATCCTAGCCGAGGTTCTCCTTCGGTAAAAATCTGGTACCCAAAGCTTGCCTCCAATGCATCTTCGGAAGTTCGCCATACCTTTGATCTCCCTACTCTCCTTACACTGCCACCCCCATCCTTGTGGCCGTCTTCAATTCGGCCTTCATTGCCAAATTTGCTACTTTCTCTCGGTCTTCCGCGTGCAGACCTGCTCCGGCCACCATCTCCCCTCCCTCCACTGGGCCCTCTTCCTCGCCCTCTCATGGTTCCCCTGCCTGGATGTCAGGGCTTCAGTTCACCTATGTGCTGAGAACCATAATGCAACAACTCACAACCAGTTCACTACACTTGCCTCACTCGCTATGCAACAGTTGAAGCGTTGGACTAAACAAATCTATATTACAGTATTTGCGGGCATGAAATTGTAGACTTTACTCTCAAGATACTGATTTCATTTGATCAACCGGAACTTCGCCCTTAGTCCCTGAAATTGACTCCGAGCTCCATTCTGAATGCACCTGTGTCAGATTGCGGACACCATGCTGTCGGAACGTCATCAGCTCAGAGAAAATGCCTTTCACTGGGTGAGCGAATCTCTTCAATGCTCTCAAATTACAATCTCGGAGAGAAAGTAGAAACTGCAAAGCATGGAAAGCAGAATTCAACCTCGGCAAAAGTTCGAACCTGATATGCAGCTTCAAGGAACAGTAACGAGCTCAAGATTCCTGCAAGAACCACAAGACAGCACAGCTACATCATGGAGTGAAAAAGAAATCCCTCGACCCGCAACAGAGCCACCACTTGAACTCTAGATCCCAAACTCCCAAACAATCAGGGCCCAAAAGGTCCAAACTCCCTAAATATGGTAGCAGAACACGAAGCTAGATTGGAACGATTCGTTATCGTAAACCCTGAAGTTTGTGCAACGATTAAACATGCCATTACACCAATCCATGTTTACCCCTCGCTGATTCAGATGAGCTCCGAAGCCCTAACCTAACCCCTCACGAGAAGACTCAGTTCATCACTTCTCCTCAACCCGGCAAAGCAATGCAGCAATTCTACTTGTGCCCTAGTTCACCAAAGTTCAACTACAGAGCAATGAATTCAGCGTTACAACGTTCGGCATGTACCTCAAGAGAGCACGAATTCGCTACACTACTCGATGTCATCGTTGCTAGAGGTGCGAGATGAGGATCGCGATGAGAATAGACAAAGCTCGCCCTGCATTGTTTCCTTTCCTCGCCTCGCCTTGCCAGAGCATTCCACTTCGCGGTCCCGGCTTCGATCAAAGGGCGGGAAATCCCAGACCCCACCCTGGATTTCAAATCCGTAGATGTTGCTTATTCAATTCTATGAATTATAAATTTCAACGATTGTCGATCAATGTTTCTGAAAATGTACGATTCGTGGTGATTTCAGGGGCTTTTGGAATCGTGACGTGGTAGTATGACTGCACAGTTCAAACGGGAATTCAAACGAAATCAAAGCAGCTGGAGCAGCTGGGTCGTCGCCGTTGATCCCAGGTATCAATGTTAGATCAGGGTATCGGTGTGAATCCAGGGTATATAAGTGCGTGCAGGGTCTCACCTCAAGAGGGTAACAGAAACAGGTCAGAAGGGCATTATTTCATTTGGTGCTTGCAGAAGTTTCTGTTGTTGACAACTGCAAATTTTTTAAATCATGAAAATCATTATTAAAACTATTGTATTATTTTGGAAGAAAAAAACTTGTACAAAAATAATTCTACATACTCCAATCTTTGTTCTCTTCGAAAATGGTAAATAAGCTCTCTCAACTATTGATTGTGTCCCATACCAAGGCAAAAAGACCAACCTATTATTTGGTTGTTGTTGAGGGCTTCATAACTTCCTTCAAATAAAATATTTGGAATATTATCATGAGTTGTTCCTACCTCTAATAAAATCATCAAACATCAAGAGTCTCTTCTTAGGTCGTAATACCAAATATGTATCTCGCCCTCTATTCGAGGAAAGACATATCATTCTTGAAGATCTTTATATCAGATTTGTCGTCTTGAAGGTTGTGACAATCGCAATGTCTCATCTGGTAAATCCGCAAATGAAAGATCTTGAGTTGAATCTGCTGGTTCTTGGTCTTTTATCTCTTTAACTATACAAAAGCTACAAAGAAAGATAGAAGGTAGAATGTTATCTTTCTTTGATCTTGTTTCTTTTATAGCAAAGATTTTTTATTTTTTATCTTGATTTTAATAGATGTCATTGATAAAAAGCTTCAACTTTCTTTGTTGCATTTATAAGATTCTTTACAAACTCCCATCTGGGTTCATATATGTCATATCTATCCCAATGAACAAGATATTCCAACCTATTTTGGCGCCACCTTGAATCTAAGACTTCTTCCACCTCAAACTCTTGATTATTATCTACTTCTATAAGAGGAGGTGGTATTTGTCTTCTTCTCAAGATATTCACTATCTTATGTGACTCAAGAAAGGACATGTGAAACACATGGTAGATCTTCATAGATTCTAGTAGAGATAATCAATAAGTAATAGGATTGATTTGTTCACTAATAAGAAAAGGTCCAACCTTATAATAGTCCAATATATCACAGGGACGAATAGTCTTGATATTGCAACAAAATAAACATATCTTGTCACTTACGTTGAATTATAGTTGTTCCTTGCAATAGGCATCTGCATTGGTCTTTTGTCATTCTTGGGCTTCCTTTAATTGTGTCTTCAATGTTGTATGTAGCTTTGACAAATAATTTGGTAAATCTTCCACAATAGGATTATCAACTTTTGAAAAGTCAAAAGTATCAAGTCATGGATGATAATCATAATTGGCAAAAAAAGGTATTTGATGAGTAGAAAAATGTACCAAATTATTGTATGCAAACTCTGCCAATGGCCAAAGAGTTGTCCAATCATCTTGATGATAATTGATGGTACACCTCAAATAATGCTCCAGAACTTGATTTACCGATTCCATTTGCCTATCAATTTGAAGATGAAAAGTCGAAGAGAGCTTTATATCCACCTTTAGAATCTTAAATGAAATTTTCTAAAATCTTGTTACAATTTAAATCTCCTTATTCAATATAATATCCTTTAGCAATCAATCATAGCAATAGATATTATCAATAAAAAGCTTAATTATTTTTTTACTTGAAATAGATTTTATACATGATATAAAATATGCCATTTTGGTGATGTGATCTATAATTACGAATATAAAATCTTATGAATTTGAACTTGAAAGATCTATAATAAAATCCATAGAAATAAAAGACCATGGTTGTTTGGGTATAGGAAATGGTTGGAGAAGTCCATAAGGTTGATGATGAGGAGTTTTTGATCTTCAACAAATGTCACATGATTGGACAAAGTCTTTTACTACCTTTTATATTTGCGACCACCAAAAATCTCTAGATATAAGCTCTAAAATTTTGTTGTATCTAAATTGTCATATTGCTAGAAAGTCATGATGTGCTTGAAGGATACGTAAACATGCTTCTTCTTTTGGAATATGTAAGCATCTTTTAAAATAGAGTAGAATGTTTTTAAACTCAAACCTCGAAATATCATGAAACTTAAAAGAAAGATTCTTGATATCATGAAAAAGAGGATCAAAGGACATACTTGATTGAATTTGTTTTACAAAGGTCAAATCAACAGTTAATGTTGATTTCATTATTTAAAGATGAAAATGCTCAAGCATCAAGAAGATTGTTTTTTATTGATAAAAAGATATTTTTTTTCTTTTGATAAAAGACAAGAGTGTCTAGAAAGAACATCTCATAAACCTTGTTGTTTTCTAGGTCTATATGTGATCTTGAAATCAAATCTTGATAATGACATGCTCCAACAAGCTTGGTGATGATTCAAAATACATATTGATATGAAATACTTAAGGTTTTATAATTTATATATACTGTGACTGGACTTGAAGCAGCTTCTAAATAATGACATCATTCTTGAAATGAATCCACAATTATAAGAAGTGTTTTGTCGTAGATCTCATAGTTAATCTTGATTGCTAAAAATTTCTTAGAATAAAAAGCTACTAGATGGAATTTTTCATCTATTGGTGTAAAATCAAATTCTTTTTCAAAACAATAAACGATGCTTCAGCTTCTTTATTCCACTAAAGTTTGTCTTTACAAGTCAAACGTGTAAGTGGAGCTACAACTTAAATAAAGTTCTTGATAAAAATTTGGTAAAAATTAACAAAGTTCAAAAATCATTACACATCTTATTATTCTTAGAATCTTCCAATCTATGATAGTTTGGACCTTCTTTGAATCCATCATAAGGCCTTCATTGGAAATAATATATCTCAAAAAGTCAACTTGAATACTTTTCCATCTTCGCATATAATCCTATATTTTTTAGTTTTTATAACACATGACAAACATGAATTTCATGCTCTTCTATATACTTAAAATAGATTAAAATATTATTCAAATAATAAACAATAAAATCATTAAAAAACTCACAAGTATATCATTTATTAGATGTTGAAAAGTAGTTGGTGCATTCGTGAGTTAAAAAGACATGACTTTATATTCAAAATGTCCATACCTAGTTCAAAAATCAGTCTTCAATTCATCTCCTTCTTTGATATGGACCATGTTATATATTCCTCGTAGATCTATTTTTGTATAGATCTTTGCTTGATTTAAATCAAGAAGTTCTAAAATCAAAAATAGAGGATAGCTATTCTTAATGGTGATCTTATTAAGTCGTTGATAATCTACATATATCCATAGAGATTCGTCTTTTTTCTTCAAAAATAAGATAGGAGTATCGATTGGAGATTCAGAATGGCTTATAAAGTTTTTAGCCAAGTTCTCATCAATATACTCTTTGAGTGCAACTGACTCATTTTTTGATAAGCTATAGATTAGTCCAAATGGTGGTTGAATTTTTTCTTGAAGATCATTAGAACATTCATAAGAATAATATTGTGGAAGAATATATATATATATTTTCAAAAATATCTTAAAAATCTTGATACTGGTTAGAAATACCACTTAATATCTTCTCACCATTAGCAATGGACGTGGCATATATAGCAAAAGATGGCCCTTTATTTGTAGCATGCATCAAAGCTCTTGTACCTACTAATAAGTGTTTGGATGTAATAGACTTATGGATTTCTACTTGCATAGCAAGATCTTAGACTAAACTATTAAAAGAATCAAGATTGTGAGAAATCTAGTCTATCTAAGGGCTATATCTTTCTAACCACGATAATCCTAAAATAATTGAATAAGAAGGAGATTTCATCACATTAAATATTACTAAACTATTGGAACCACTAGTTGCTACTTCTATACAAATAGTTTTATATGTAATATCTCCAGAAGACAATGAATGTCTATCTATTACTTCTATATATATATATATATATATATATATATATATATATATAGATTTGATTTTCTTAACTAAGTATATATCTTATTTGTTGACAAAGTCTTCATCTATAAAATAAGTTGAGGCTCCTAAATTGAACAAGGCTAAGATTTTGTAATTTTTTGGTTTTGAACAAACTTCTATTATAAAATTAGATGAGGAATTAGAAGAAAGAATATGATCTTTATTAGATGTTGCACATAATTTCAATCATACGACTCTTATTGTAGTTGGAGCAATTTTTTTTTGACTCATTGTCTTCTTTGGTAATCATCCTTCTCATTTTGTAATTGTGTTGTTTCTTTGGACAATGTTGAGCACTGTAGTTATCTTCTCCACAATATAAGCATAAGTCCTCTTAACGTTGTCGATTCTTTTTCTACTTTGTGAGGAATTTAAAATATACCAATTCAATTTGCATTGGTTTTAGCTTTGATAAATAAGTTTCTGAAAACTTAGGAGTGGTCATCACTATTTGATTTATTCCTCTCCGGCCATATCTCTATTCTTGACATCTTTCAAATAATTGATTGTCACATGCAATAGATTAACAAATAAATTATTCTAAAGATTTTGTCTTTGGTATTGTCAGTAATAAGTATTTGACATTATCCTTCAACTCATATCAAAATTGATTGATAAGGGCTTTGTCATTCCAATCCGTGTTGCAAACAAGGTTTTGGTATTCAACAACATATATGATGGCTGACCATGATCCTTGCTATAAAGATAAGATCTTGGTCTCTCTTACTCTTTCTTGATCACTTTCTTCAAATGTGATAGTAAATACTTTTAGGAATGAATTCAAATCATAAAGGAATAGTGAATCTTTTTTCATTAAAGGTGCAAACTATGAGAGAGTAC